ATATATCCAAATAATTTTAGATATTTGTTAAGCAACGGTTACTGAATAATTTCTAAATTAGACTTTGCCGCTTTTGCCATTTTCATCTTCCTTCTTCGGGGCTTTATGGGGCCTCTTTGCTAAATTCGATTTTTTTTCGCATTTTATTTGCAATTAATTAATTGTTTACCGCAAACACTAATGCTACCTGTCTTTTTAAATGTGTGTGTGTGTCGGTGCACATTGCGTGACATGACAGTTAATAAATCATAGAACTAAAAGGCCTATGATTTATGGTCGTACAAAGCGTCACCGATTTTTGTTGATTGCTGTTTTCATTTTTGAATTAAATCAAAATGATTAAGTGATTTCAGTGTCACTTATGGTGATTAATAAGAACAAGAGCGCAGGGAAAAGCAAGTACCAAGGAATTGTAGAAATGAGATCGTGTACGATGAGAAACACTTAATTCTCTAAAATTAATTTCAAGGCTCTAAACTAACTCACTGGCTTTTTTACTCTGAACTCAGTCCTAGTAAAGTTATAGACGGCCAGTTCTTATGCACTTAATAAAACAGAAATGGTTACTTTTCATGACAGATACAACAAATTTTTTTTCGTTTAAAGATTCGATTTATACTGAATTCATACTCAATGCCGGTAAATATCTTTCAGAGTCGTTATTTATACAACTACATCACTCATTTCTCCATAGACAGGTAGAAAAATGTTCAGCTTAATCTGCATATTTAAGATTAAATTTGACTCGGTTAGATTCATTGAAACAGAGCGTGCAAACTGAATCGAAAAATTTTTTTCCATCGATCAGTACAACCTCTTTTATGGACGTCTGAAGTTTGATCTCCATATGTCAAATGTTGTGTATTTGGCACACAATAGTGTTTACGACGCGAACATTTTGTTGGCGATTTTTATATATTGGATCAATTGAGTAAACTTTTCAGTTTCGAACGGTGGCGGAGGGCTGACTCTAAACTCTCTGACCTGTCAAAAACACACTATGGGGGAATTATGTTTCTTTATAGAGAATTATTTGGAGGAAGCTTAAATAAGTTTATCTCTGATCTATATATAAGTGAATCTATTGAAGAGTTTTAAATATGGTGAAGATCGATCTTTCAAAGAAAGGGAAAAATTCGACTCTTTATCAAAAATTGTTTTTACAAATATATATTATATACGTTAAGTACCTCCTAACATGAAAGTCTTTTCCATTCTCCATCTTCTACTTCAGCTTTTTGTATTAGAAGTTAATGTGGGACCTTTTAAAAAATAGCTCAAAATACATATTATATTTGTGTGTCGCTGCCTTACATAATCAGAATAGCTCTTTATTTATGTTCTTAGTTCTATGGTTACCACGTGATGTCAATAAAGTGTTTGGTAATGTACTTTTAAGCGAATATATGCTATCTCTTAGTACTTAAATGTACAAATATATATGTAAATGTGTGAGTATGAATGTACAAGTATGTATGTTTGTATAATATGAGCTCCCTTATCGCTGAATTCAAAATAAACAGTGACGCGTAGATTTCACTTTTCTTATCATCACACGCTTTAGCCTTAACACAGTTGCTGAAAGAACAACCAACTCATTTACTATGAACACATGTACATATGGTACATACATACATACCTATTTAGCTAAGGAGTATACTCACTTTTATTATTGGATGAGTATTAGAAAAAATTTGCAAAGCGCTTATGACTGCACTTGGCCGCAATCTACTTTGTATAAATTGTTTTAAGTGCTTCTTTGTACGCAGTAGATTACGAGTATATGGTATGATCAGGCGCTACAGGTATTATGTAAGACTGCCGCATTTGTTGATAAAATTTGCAAAAGGGAAAAAGTAGATACGGCTATTTCTAATTTGCCAATTAATCTTAGCAAATATACATTTACAGAAAAATTATGAGTCTGCACCTACACCTTGTTGAACTCGTTTACCATAGTTGAGCATTCTAATTCAAAATGTCTTATAGATTGCACTTATTTCATTTCGAATTGACATTTTCGAATTTATATTCGTTCAATGTTTCTCCATAATCGTAAAAATGCAAAATTGCCATAAAAGTATGAATAATTCATTGCGAATTTTCTGTTTTTGTTTATGAAGATTTAGTTCATTTAGTTTGTTCGAATTTTATACCCAAACGTAACAATTAAAGTTTGGTATAAGATTACCGTAAAATTGAAAAACTAACTGTATGGCATAACATTTGTATAACAACAGTAAAAACTCTGTCAAAATGTGATTGACTGAAGCCCAGTCTGTCAAGTTGAAGTTTCTTATTTAAATGCAACTGACATTTATTAAAATCTGTTATTGGCTCATAACATATGTTTAAAATAATCAAAGTTGGATACTTTGTGGCGAGTAATTTTAATTTTGTAACCGATTTTCTAAAATGAGAGAATGTAAAAATTAACACGTATTTGTCTTAATTTCTAATATTTTTGATTTACCAATAATATTTTTTTCTTTTCTAAGGTTGGTCTGTTCTATATTCCATCACATTCGGAAATTAATTTTTTTATTTCTTGAGTTTTTTTTTTCCTATGTTCCATCATGATCCGTCTGTTAATGCGTCCGTTAGTCTATTTTGAGTTTTAATTACTGAAAACACCACGAGTTGTTTGTTGAGGATCGAGTTGGAATGACAACAACCTCACTGATAACCGAACATGAGAAGCGAGAATTTTAAAACGGTCAAACTCTCATTCTTCCGGAATCAATCTTTAAAAACTTTAAATATTTCCTGTTGACTTGTTAGACTTTTTTCACCTCGTTTTTTACCAGCAACAGTTTTAGTGCAGCCAGAAAAATATTCTTTAATTTAATATACATTTTCGCAAGATTTTTATATGAATCATAGTTTCACTTCGATGAAAATGCGATCGAAAATACCTGTTGATTTTGCTATTCTAAAGTTCTAAAAATTGTCTACAGAATTCCACTCGCGCTTACTTAAACTCTGCTTAGTGATAAGGAATCAAGAGCTATCATGTCGAAATGAATTTCGAATGAATTATAGAAGAGGAAAAATCACTTTCACAAAAGTAATGTTTCAGGTAAAATTAAAGAGGCGATTAGGTTCATAAGTAGCCTTGCTTACATGCAATGTATACCTATATACAAGTATGACAGCTCTCTGGCTGTGCTAAGTTTCTGCTGGGGTGATTTTGAGGAAATGTTATGCTTTGAAAATCATGATCACTTTATATTCATACATAATCTTTTCAAGCAGTCACATATATACGTTCACATGAACAATACTATTTTCAAAAGGTTAAAAGTATAATTTTAGAAAACTAATGTTTGGTTTTGCCAGGTGGAGTACGAGCTTATTTAGTTCATTTTATTATTTTTATTCCTTTTCAATACAGACATCACTATACTGTTTCCCTTTTATTTTTCAAGCCATAAAATATGAGTTTGTATAGAAAAAAATTGTCACAATCTTAGCTTTGCACTCATTTGCTCCTAATTTGGGTATTACTACTCAATAAATAAAAGCACTGTCGAAAATTATTGAATTTTCAAGCTTGTTGACATATATCAAGTCCATTAAATGGTGACAAATATAGTAGATTTTATTATTTGAATAATCTATTCGCGAAATGTAGTAAGTTTTTGTTGGGTTGACTAATGATTTAACTGAACAGATGTCTGCTGAATTTTATACTATTTTTTAATTTTTTTAAATACGTATATTCCAAAGCAAATAACTTTGTGTTAAGTAGTTATTGCTGCAAAGACAACTTCTCAGCTGTTGCGAACACCGCTAATATATGAATACTATATTTATTTTCCTTATGAAATATAAGAGAAATGATCATATATATATCATTATACGCCATATTTGACATTATATTTTCGATAAATGCGAAAACGCAAGCCAGGCGGCTTAGAATGCAAATAATAATAACCGTTTCGGAATTTATGATGTCAAAGTTGCATCACACTCTGGAAGACAAACTGCGCAAAAACCGTTTCATAACTTTCAAATAATGCTGTTACCAAATCGAACTCGATGGTTGCCATACGAGTTAGTGCAAAAAACCCCGAATTTCTGAGGCGGATGGTTACTGGTGATGGAAAATGGGTCACTTACGACAACATCAAGCAAAAGTGGACGAATCGCGATGAGCCAGCATAAACGGTGGATAAACCAAAATTGACGGTCAAGAAGGTTCTTCTAGGTGTTTGGTAGTATTGGCACGGTGTCAGCTACTATTAGCTTCTTCTCTACGCCTAAACTCTTACATCGGACCTGTACTGTCAACAATTGGATTGTCCGAAAGAAGCTATCGTCTAGAAGTGGCTAACTTTTATCAATAGGAAAGGTATTGTGTTCCATCAGAACAACGCTAGGCCACACAAATAGGAAAGTATGTTATCCTCAAAACGGCTACAAGTTATCGAACAAAACACAGCGGATTTTACATAAATCGGATCATTCTAACTATGTTAAATAAAACCTTCAATTTTATGCGAAAATAATGAATTTATTTTTACTAAACTTATTATAGTGGTGTATTATTGAAAAATAGCGGTAAAAGAAATTGCATTAAGAAAGCTATTGCAAAAGCTCTTTGTGCCGATTTCAGCTACGAAATATTTAGGTTGCCACTTTTAGAGAGCCATGAGTGGTGTGGTTCTGAAAGTATATGGAAAAACTTATATATACTTATATTTAGGTTCAAATTCCATTAAGACTCTGCTAAAGTAAAATAAAACTGGGATGCCCTCCTATTTTTGAAACAGATAATACTATAAGTATCTCTGATGAAATTTTAAATCGGCCTTACCAATTTATTTATTTTTATCCATGTTGATATAGTTAGAAATGGCGGAAAACGTTGATGAATTTTGATTCTGAGTTTCTATTATTCTTTAGGGTAAAAAACCAGTTCTTATATTGTACAAAATAACGCCCATTTGTTTGTTTTAACTATGTCACTTATTAATTTTATATATTTTTCATTTTAGCTACTTGGCTTGGTTATCATTGGCATTGGGGCATATGTGATCATCAAACTTGAATATTTCAATACCGCAGCCTTCGTAATACTCGGCTTGGGCATCGTGGTGTTCTTGACCGCAGTCTTGGGTTCCTTGGGTGCGGCACATGAAAGCAGCCAGATCTCCAAAACGGTACGCAAATTTTCACATTAGTAAACATAGTATCGATTTGTATTGTTATTTTATTGAATTTGTTTTCCTCAATTTTTTTTTGGTTAACTTTTCAATGTCACTGCCCTTTTATGCCGATCTGATACAACGTATGTGCGTAGTTCGCCATAATTCTGCTGTTATGGGTTGTGCTGCAAACACTATCGGTTGGCTTCTTTTGGATCTTCCAATCGACATTGCTGATCAACATTGATCACACCTTCGATCAATTGTGGGGTACACCAATAGTGCCCATCAAGCCGGGCAACACTAGTCATATAGCGAGCATTGAGAGATGGGTGAGTATGAATACTTTAATATCTACAATATATGAATGCTTATGAATGTGTGTATATTTGTAATTTCGAACTTGCGCACTGGAATTGTTTGCGCATGCGCGCAAGTCTTTTCACAAAATTCCATATATGCGTGCATAAACATGTGCTTATAAACTATAAATTATTTTTATAGTATTTTTTTATATTTTTTTTATAACATTTCACTGTTGACAATCATAATTCATAATCGTTTATTTCCTTATTTGCGCCGCCATTCATGACTTAGCTCGATTGTTGCGGCAATATCGGCTCCAGCGATTACCTGCTCCCGCCAAATAGCTGTTACAACAGCGTTACAGACAAGTTGAACTTCGACGGCTGTCGGCAGAAGTTCCTCACTTATGTGGCCGAGCGTTGGCAGGCGTTTAATTTCTTCGCCATCGGTGTGGTTTTGGTCGAGGTGCGTATTCAAAATGTCAAAAATAAATTAATTATTACCTATTTTCAAATTATTGGCTACTAAATTATGCTAAATGATTGTGAAATAAAATTTGTTATTATTATTATTCTCTTACGTAATTACAGCTGATTTGTGCCGCTTTCGCCTGGGTCTTGGCTAACAGCATTGTGAATCGCTGGCGCCGCTCGAAATACTATCCCAAATAAGCAGTTTAACGCGATTCATTTAAATGCGCACAAAGGCCAAAGAATTTCTACACACATATACATAACCAAATATAGGTGAAAAGTATGTGTATGCATAAATGAGTAAATGCAGTTACAAACGTACGCAACTATACAAACCGATCAATGTATTTTTGTTATTGATTTTTTTTCATTTTTAAATTTTTTTGATTTTTTTGTTTTTGTAAACAAAGTCACCACACAACGATATTTTGTAGAAGTGCTTGTTCTGACGCTGGAAAATATGAAATTAATTTCGCTAGTCTACCTCAACATGCTCATAAATTAGCTAAGCTATTAAAGAAAACAGTAAAAGCACAACTCTGAACTCAGCTTAGCTGAAAAATTTATAGTTACCAACACACACATATTTCTCAGCGATAATAAACACATAGTGGTATGTACATACATATATGGTAGACGAAATTTGTTTAATTCGTAAAGGAAATGAAACGGTGGTGCCAAAAATGGTATTCAACAGGGAGTAAATTTGACAAAATATTAAATACATTAATTTTATAAGAACATTTATAAATGTTTAAAAAAAAATTAAGTAAATCAACACCTACATATTATATAAGCAGCAAACGATTCAATAATTAATATATATATATTATAATATAATAATTATTATACAAGTCATAATAAATTTTTCGAAGCATAATTGCGCTGTATTGTTGTTAACATTAGTTTAAGTCGTTAATAAATGTATTTAATTAAAATTGTGCATGTTAAATAACAACTAAACTGACGAAAGTATACAGAAATAGAAACAAATTTTATAAAATGTACAAACTTATACTATAAAAAGTAATAAATTGATCATTAAAAAATTGCATTTTTCTCAACAAATCAATAAAATGTATATACAGTTAAAAAAAAATAATAAAAAACCGAAAACGATATTTTTACTGGCAGCGAAAAATTTCCGTTTTTATTTATTTTGTTGGTAGCAGAAAGGAAAATTAAGAAAATAGTGATTTTCGAAAAAAAAGCAAAATATTGTACCATTTCTCTTACTTATTGTTATATAACCATTTGTTAAAAACACACTAGTTTAATGGAAATTAATTACCAAAATTTTTCAACAACAACAAAAGACGTTAACCTCGGCAGAAAAAGAGTATAAAAAGATGCTTGTCTTGATTTTGATCGGACAGTTTGTATGTCATTTAGTAGTCCGATCTGAACAATATGTGCGAAAGTTGTAGCGCTGCCTTGATTAATAATCTGTTACAAATTTAAGTCAAATTAGCCTGACAAGTAGAAAAGTTTTTCATACAATATCTTGATTTTGAACCATCAGTTGTATGGCAACTACAATACTATATGCTAAGTGGTCAGATATCGGCGGCCGGGTTTCATCTCATCTCATTATCTCAAAAACTAAGAAAAAAATTCGCGTATATACAGACACTAATCATTTACATATACATTATATATATTTTGTAGAATCCGTGATGTTTTCTTCCGGGTGTTACAAACACCAAAAATTTAATGTGATATAAAACAAAGGGTTGCCTACTTTTCAGCGCAAAGAATAAGAGCAACTCTAGGGTACACATAACTGAATTAGGTGGCTTATATACAATAACAATATATGCAAATATAAAGTTCTAAAGACAAGTTTTTTTAAATTATCTTGTTTAGTAAATATTTGTGCTCTCTTCCTGCTTAAACATAGTTCACTGATCAAATTTGCGCCAAACTATAGGCTTTGACAACTGCCAAACTTTTGCGAGGAATTCGTGATTGATGTAGGTTTAACAGAAAAATGTCTCTATTGATTTTTACTATTAAAAAGGAAAAACAAAGTATGATTTCTACCAAATCATTAAAATTTTTCTAATATATTTCTAGTAGTCCACATGCAGTCGAAAACGCAAGCAACGCATTTGAGCGGCATATGACTTGCAATGAGGGCTACGAGATCGTAGAAAACTTTTCCGCAAAATCGATAATGAGACGCAATTAGTGCAAAAAACTCGTCGTGTTGGTATTAGAGTGATGAGGAGTGATTCTAAATAGCTGTTCTTGATCGACTAATATATTTTTCAGAAATATGAATTTTGGGTCAATAGAGTAGCATATTCCTTTGGGCAAAAAAATAGTAAAACTTCTACCAATAATATCTCTTAAACGGTTATGTTTACGAAATAACTCTAAGAGACCATTTGGCAGAGCAATTAATTTCCTGCAAAATCTATGAAGCGAGATATTTTTTCAATTAGTGGGAAGCGAGATATGAATTTTACTATTTGATATAAAGAAAAAATAGAAAACTGATAGTCGGAGAACCTTTTCGTTATTTATTATATATTATTCCATTAAAAGCCAACCAATTTTTTCGACTGCGATGCGAAAACAAAAACATTCGAATTTTTGACCCAACCTAATATAATATAATATATATATATTAAAAATTTAAATAAATAAAGTAAACAAAAAAACAAATTTGTTTTGTCAATAAAGAAGGGTTTTTGAAATGATTCACGTCAATCATATTACATATTAAACATTATCTGGTGTCTGATGCTTTGTGATTGAAGCAATTCATATGTGGATAAATTCTTAAAAAATCCAGTAAATAAGAAAGTTACTAAAAGAGCGAAATCCCTGATGGCAATGAGACTTTAGTAATGTATTTTTTATATGATGTTTATATATTTATATATTGCATATAGACACTAAGTATGTACAATTTAAGTCATTCAAAACACTTTTAGCTCTCGAATTAGCAAACGCACATATTTATTTTGCTTAAAACTCACATGGTCTATAATTTTTCTAAAATCAACAACGAGCAGTGAAATAAACTTGAATGTTTACAAAGAGCTTTTCACTGTTGCAAAGTATGTATGTATGTATGTATATGGAAATATTTCTATAATTTAAGTATGTATGTATGTATGTTTCTTAAAATATATGTTAGTATGTAAATATATGTAAGTATGTGTGCATGCAAGTCGGTGCAATATGTATGTGATCCCGTTTAAGCTGGTTGATATTGGCCTTTAAAGTCTTTTGGCCGGCCACAATTTCCGATCATAAAATCAACATAAAATCTGTCGCTGTCACCAGCTTAGCGCGTAGGTGCAGCATGCGCTTTTGACATTTAAAAATTCATAAAGATTTTGGTTTTCACTTTGATATCATTTTTTGTTTTTGTAAAGTTGTGTTTTTGTTTTAATCTCTCTAATCTTTATTGCATTTTATTGGTCGGCTGTGGAGACTATGTGTGCGAGTTGGCGTTCTTGGTGGAGAATCTTCGACGAAATATTTGCATACATACAGACACACACAAACATATACATGTTTTTTCGTAAATGTGTGTCTTCGCTGTAGAGCGTCTGAATGACAACTGAGAGTGAAAGACAACAGCAGATTTTTTCTATTGCCAATGATAAAGCTGCCAACAACTATAATAACAACAACAAGTGAGTGAAAGCATAAAAACAAAAGCGCGCCACCGAAGCGAAAGCTAGCAAATACTAAAGAGAATTATTAGCAATTTGTCGACATTTTTTTCAGTTTTTTTGGTTTTTTCAAGATTTTCTTATGACATGGCGATCGGAAATTTTGTCATCGTTGAGCTCATCGCTCCGCTAAGGTACTACTACAGTTGGCAGCGCAAAACAGAGCAGATCAGATGAGATCGTCAGGGCCACTTTGTCGTTTAGTTGCTGCTTATTGTCGATTCAGTTTAAAAAGCTACGTGAAAGAGCTTCGAAAGAGGCTGCGGATGCGCCGGTGACGATCGGTCTTTAGTACTACAAGAGCAGTGTCTTGTGAATTTTTTAGCGTAACGGAATTTGTTACAAGTAGAATCTATTGTGTAATTGTTTTTATTTTTAATTGTTGTGCCTACATACTTACATACATACATATGTATATGTAAAAAGTTAACAAGTAAATGAGAATAACAGTATTATTTTGACAGCAATAAGTGTTTTATTAATTTAAATAATATATATACGCACATACATCTATATATTATATAAACAATTTTATAAAAGACCGTTAGAGGCTGGATATAGAGAACAGCTGTTCAAGAAACGAAAATGATTCGCTGCACCAGGAAGCGCTTGAAAGTCACGTTATTCGTATTTAATGCGATATGTGCTGTAAGTATTGCGAAAATTCAACAAAATATTGTGAAATAAAAACTAAGGTTCCATATATGATCCGATCTGAAATTTTTTTTGGAAATTGTATTCTTACTTTGTATAATAATAGATGCCAAATTTCATAAAGATATCTCTTGAAATAAAAAGGCTTTCCATACTGGGTCTTGAGTTTGTATGGCAACTATAGGCTATAGTGGTCCGATCTAATACTTCTGCAGAGATCATACCGTTGTTTTGGACAATAGTCTATGGTAAATTTTGTGAAGATATCTCGTCAAATGAAATACTTTTCCATACAAGAACTTGATACCGATCGTTCAGTTTGTATGGCAGCTATATACTATAGTAGTCCGATATTGGCGGTTCCGACAAGCGAGCATCTTTTTGAAAAAAGGGCTTGTACAAAATTTTAGATAGATACCTTAAAAACGAGTAATTGGTTCGCATATATACAGATGAACAGACGGACTTTAGGGAAAATAATAATTTTTGAATTTACTTTCAGAATCAACTTACATTATGTTAACCGTAGTCAGATTACTTATACTATATCTTACATATGGAGCACTAATACGGTATAAAGTCAACCGGAGGAACATATACCATTATATTAATATAAGGGGATATGAGAATATATGGACCCATTTCAATAAGTTTTCAAACAGAATTATCCTATGTCAGGGCCATGTTTGTATGTAATCCCAAGGGAGCTGATAGGATTAAAAATAGAAATTTAAAGGAAATAGTGTAGTGGCGATTTATTAATTAGTAGTTAGTGAGATGCGAAATTCCAACACTATGCACATGTTTGCAATATAAAGTTTCGTTACTTTTTAAAATGCTAAAGGTTTATGCGATCCGCCGGGTGATATAAGCAACCATTAAAAATAAAATGTGAAAAAATAAAATACTAAGCAACAAATAAAGCATAAAAATAAATTTAAACAAGTAAGGAAGGGCTAAGTTCGGATGTAACCGAACATTTTATACTCTCGCAAAGTCAAATAGTATACTCGTTTGAGATTTCTTTGTGGATTGACTGATATTTTCGGTAGAAGGTCAACTATAGGCAATGGGGTCCACATATTTAGTACTTAGGGGCTTAAACAGTTTTGGTTCGATTTAGACAATTTTTGGCCACAAGGTGGCATACTTTAATCGCATTATTCACGCAAAGTTTTATCCCGATACAGTCATTGTTGCCTGATTTGCATAGTGGAAAGTGAAATAATCAGATGGAATTTAAAATGGTGTTATATGGAAAGTAGGCGTGGTTGTAGTCCGATTTCGCCCATTTTTGCACTGTGACATAGAAACATGAAAAGAACGTTATGCACCGAATTTGGTGAGCAGATCTCAAGATATGGGTTTTAGCCTAAAAGTGGGCTGTGCCACGCCCACTGTCTAATTTTGAACGCGGTTCCTATAAAGTCATCTCATACCATCCCAGAGATAAAATTTAATGACTCTGGCGTGTTTAGTGCTTGATTTATCGCGCTTTTAGTAGTTTTTAACAGTACCGTTATATGGGGAGTGGGCGGAGTTGCCACCCGATTTCAACTGTTTTCACACCGTCAATAGAAGTGCTAAAAACATTTGCTTCCAGTGAATTTTGTTAATATAGCATTAGCGGTTTAGGAGATATGCACATTAAACCTATTAGAGGCGGGACCACGCCCACGTTTTAAAAAAAAGTTTTAACTGCAGATGCCCCTTTCTAATGTGATCCTGTGTACCAAATAACAGTCTTGTATCTTATTGCGGAGCTTAGTTATGGCAAGTTATTTGTTTTTGATTAATGGCGTTTTGTGGGCGTGGCAGTGGTCCGATTACGCCCATCTGCAATACCAACCGTCTCACGGTACCAAGAAACATGTCTACCAAGTTTCATAAAGATATCTCAATTTTTACTCAAGTTGGAGCTTGCACGGACGGACGGACGGACGGACGGACAGACAGTCACCCGGATTTCAACTCGTCTCTTCATCCTGATCATTTATATATATATAACCCTATATCTAACTCGATTAGTTTTAGGTGATACAAACAACCGTTAGGTGAACAAAACTATTATACTCTGTATCAACAGGTTGCGAGAGTATAAAAAAGGTTAATATTAAGTCAATTGTGTACATCTTGTTCATTGGCTAAAAATTGCATTTAATTCACTTAATTAATTTCTAAAATTCTTATATTCTCTTTCACCTAATTACGTCTCTTCAATGAGACACATTTTCACTTTTCCGTTATTTACCTTGGCAATTTAGCGCATTGCTTGCAGACGTTGATGACAAAAATTAGTCATATTGTGTGCGACTATTTAAAAATAAACTGCAAAGTTTGACCGTTCTTTACGCTTTTCTCATTTTTAATGCAATCAGCCACAAACACATACATACATACTATACTATATGTATGTGAGGTTTTTTGTTGTTTTTTAAGTTTCATTTCTTGTTTTGTTAAACATTTCATTTTTATTTTTTTGTTTTGTTGTCATTTCAAATTTCTGTTTGCACTTTCTTTTCTTCCTTCTGCATCGCAAGCGTATATAAGCAATATTTGAAAAACCGTTTGTGAAAACAGTTGTGCAAACTTTTTGAAGTTTGAGCGTTTTTGAGCTTTCAACAAAGCTTTCAAAATAAAAATTGTGTACAGTAGTGGCAAATGTTATTGGGATTTGTGAAACTGTTATTTTCAAAAATAAATGCGTGTGTGGGTACAACTTAATTGGCTATAGAAAATCGTAGCCACATGTTCATAATCACACAGGTGGGTTACAGGTGGTTGTAGGTGTTGAGAAGTAATGCTTTAGTATACTTGATCGACAATCGAAAGCGAACAAAACAAAATACTTTTTCCGAAGTTTATTTGGACCTTAAGGCCAGGTTAGCAGGTCGATCCAAAAGAAGATCCCATTTAGACAGCTGAGAACGCCGGTCCAATGTCATACCTAAATATGCCAGAAATTTATTGAGGTGGCTTATATTAATTCCGGCTTTAGCCTTGGGAAATCTGGACAATAAAGGAGAAGTGCGTTTCTACCTCACCTGCTTCCATATAACTTTGACAGTTAGCGTCCGACAAGATTTCCAGTCTTACCTTTCCTAATAGGGCCTCCTTAAATTCGAAAGAATTCACTGTCTTTTTTTCTTGCATTTACTGTCTGCCGTTCAACATTCATCAAAACAGAAGCTAGTGACCAAGTGAAGTTGGGAAATTCACTGAAGACTGAATTTATAAAAAGAGTTAATCGGTCCTTATGTAAGACTGTCTACTGTGGCATCCACACGAGATAGAAAATTCCATTAGTTCACACCTTGGGCTCCTAGGAAAGCATACAATTAGTCAACTTTTATGGCATTTCATTAGAAGACTAGAATCTGTAAACATGATCTTGAAACTTAAATGTAAGTCTTTGTGAACCGATTTAACGACGGCTTGCGCATTATTGAGACATTAAACACGACTACGTCGAGAGATTTTTTAAAGTTAATGCACAGCTGAAATGAGGTTGATTCCTATAATTTACCTTGCCGAACTTTTTCACTGAAACTCCGTATGGCAAGATGAAGAAGGACCTGGAGGAGCAGGTAGTAATCACTTTTTGAAATTTGACAACAGATTAATGTTCAAGATTACAGTGCCCCTGTAGGAACTGTTATAGGAGAACAAGACCATATTCAAGAAAATATGATTTCCTAGAGCCCTTGTGGGGATCGAACCCGCGACCTTTGGATTAGAAGTCCAATGTGCTATCCACTGAATCCAAGAAGCGCCGACACATCAGTTCTGGATCTTTTGGTACGAGTCTAGCATTGACACGCTTCACACCCAAAACATTAATCAAAATGTGTTGAGTCGATCCATAAGATCGCATTTCGCATGTTTTCGTTGACTTCACGATCTTTACTGAATGCGTTGTGCAACTCAAACACTACAATAATTGACAACTGAAGATCAAACTTCACAAGAATATAAAAAGGTTATACCAATCTAAGATATTTTTTTATGGATTTGGTTAATACGCGCATTTTAAATGAGCTTGACTAGACTCAAATTTATTGGATGGTAAAATAGCTATTAGGAAGCTGTATTTGGAAGTATTTTTATCTTCTTTTTTACTCGTTCTTTAAATCACAGCATTTTTCTTGTTTCACTATGTACTCTCCCTAAATATTTTATTATCAACAAGTAATATGGAGTTTATAGCTTGTTTAGGGATTTGCTTCAGCTCCTGTATTAATATTAAAAAACTGCAAAGAATATTACGAGCTTAAATATAATATTAGTTCGAGAAATTTCAATTTCTTTCTTATTCTTTCTCTTTATTTTTAGATCATGGGTGTAACTCTAATGTGGTTTGGAGCTTGGCTACATAGTAATATTGGAGAAATTGATGTGGATAATAGTGAAACCCTTGTTGCCATAGTAATTGTACTACTGGGAGCAGTGTTACTGGTGATGGCGGTCTTTGGCTGTGCTGCAACTTATATGGAGTCTAAAAGCATGTTGATAAGTGTAAGTTATGATCCATTATGTAAGTATATAAATTATACATATGTATATTGATTTGAAAAAGCTTGAGGAATATTTTGAGATGACTTGAATTCTGAATTGGTTTCAACACAGTTAAAAACCTCGAATTTCGAATGCTACAACTCGTAGACGACTAATTCAAATGCTAACGTACTGTTAAGGGCAAAATAGAACTTTCTAGAGCCCTTGCGGGGATCGAACCCGCGACCTTTGGATTAGAAGTCCAATGTGCTATCCACTGCACCAAAGGGCCGCTTAATTAAAGCTTATAACTGTATATATCAAAATAAAGTACAACTATAAAACAGTTACATTTAATTGTTTAAATAGTTGTACCGAAATAATTCTAACGTATGTGACTGCTTATACAGGTGTCTTAGTCTTTTTCACATAAGTTCCTAGTTCACTAATTTTAAACTCAGTAACATCAGCTGAATGCATTTAGAACATAAAATTCGTTTTGAGTAAATTATGAAATTTTTGGCCCAAAAGAGCATCAGTATCACAGCGCCAAGAATATTATTTATCGTTCACCATACTTTAATAAATATTTAGTTAACCTTCTTTTCCACATTCTTCGGGCCCTTTAAAGTTTAAGCCGCATCACTAGAGCAGTCGGAAATATACTTGCAGATTTGATATTGTCTGCTTAGGGGCAATTGTCATTAATTTTTAGGATTACTGCTACAGTTCTACGTTAATTCTAAATCCGTTTCTGCAACCGGAATGTTCAAAATCAACGACGACACCTCAATATAACCTCAAAGTACTTTTGAATCGTTAAAAGTCATCACTCATACTCTTAAAGTCTCTGTAAAATGCCTTTTTATTCGAAAATTAGAAAAAATCGGTAGTTACCTGCTTTCAAAAGAAAACTAATGAAGCTAAAAAGAGCAGAGTTTCAATTTTCGAGTAAACTTAGCATATTTGCAAAGCAATATAACAGATAAATATTATAACAAAAAAAAAAATTAAATAATCTCTATTTTCTTCTCAGTATGCTGTTATTTTAGTCATTTTGCTGGTTATACAAATATTTCTCGTGAGCATCAGCTACACGGCAACTAGTGGCAGCCTTTCAAGTGGTCTACAGCGCGGTTTCGATGAACTCTGGGATAAGCGAAATACGAATAAAAATACAACATTGTCTTTTTATGAAGAGTGGGTAAGATTTATAAGTGATTTATTACCCACAAATATTATATACTCATTTCACATACCTAGAAAACAGCATCCTGTAACCCAAATATTTATCTACTTTCGCTCTACTAAAATGTTATTAATTTCCTACTTACAGCTCCAGTGCTGCGGCAAGAGCAGCGCCAATGACTATTTTCTCATGGACAAAGTTCCGCCGCCCAGCTGTTGTCGCTACCAGGACTGTACGAATGTTCTAAATCTCTATGTGGATGGTTGTGAGAAGAAATTCGGCGAATATTTGACTGAGAAGACGAGCAGCTTTAACACTATTAGCTGGTGTTTGATTATTACGGAGGTAAGTTTTCTCAAAGACGTATACAGGAGTGCGATAACTTTAATAAAATGGTCTATTTTGCAGTTAATTGGCTCCGTCTTTGCTTGCATTTTGCTTGATAGCATCCGAAATTATCGCGATCGCATTCGTTTCTACAACTGAGGAGGGTGCGGAGAGTTAAATACAAAATGCAAATACCTCGTTCCTTTGCACTACATAGTATTGTTACACACACATATATACATATGTTGAATTGATATATTATTAATATAAATTAGGAGAAATATTGTAAATTATTAGTCAATTATTATTATTCAAGCTAAACCTAGACCTAAAAAAATTTAGTTACATTCTTATATAATTTTTATAAAAAAATATATTGTTGTTTAATTGTAAGTAACACAATTTATGGTAACCTTGAAGTAAAATAAACTCGAATGCAAAAAATTTTTATTTATGAATTTTGACTATATTATTATTTTTTAAACAATCTAAATACTAATTTTACGACATGAAACACATCTTTATCAAAAGAATGAGCAATTGAGAAGCTATTGAATTTATTTTAAAAAATATGTTTAAATGAAAAATTTTCAACAGGTGGCAGGTTAGGTAAAATTGATGAATCCCACTAGAACAGATATTCGTTCTTTGAGTTACCCATAAACTTCTAAAAGTGGATCACCAGATTCTCATAGATCAACAAAGCATTATAAGCTTACCACAGATTTATTGATGCGGTCAATAGCAATCCCAGAAATTTCCCCAAAGGTGTGTTTACCGAGGTATTTCAATCTCAGTCTGGAAGAAAGTGGCAAGTTCTTCGCCTTGGCATGGAGCGACGACAGAATATTTAGCCACACTGCATTTGAACCTATTGTATAGTGTCCAGTCAGAACATCTGAAATTGTGGCGAGATTGACTTTGCTAAAAGAGGCTAAGTGGTTCACTGTGGGTCAGAAGGATCTCGCAGTGACACAAGTTCTGGCAGTTGACCAGCGCTTGCTGAGCTAACTGGCGATACAAGGGTTCAACGCCAGAACACAAGAAGATATCGGAAAACCGACAAGTATCCAATCGCAACAGGTGGCAACTCTCGGAAATATTATATCCTATTAAAATCCTTCATAAACATTTGTAGTTAAATACTCATATTATTATATTATTTATTTTCAATATTTCAAAGAGGTGGCAACTCTTCTAAAAAAGCAAATCTATAAAAATCTTTTCAAAACATGTCTAGTTTGATACTAGTACTACAATATAATATTTTATTTCTTAAAAATTTTTCAAACAGGTGGCAATTCTTATAAAAAAAAAACCAAATAAAAACTGGTTACCTTATATAGGAATCCCACTCTAATAAATGCGGCATAAGCCCATCATTGAGGCCATAAATCGCTAAAGAAACTAAAGGCCTATACATATCTCTTAAGTATGAAAAGATCGAGACATGTTTGCATTTAGGGGTTGTATCCTCTTGTGAGTTTCAAAAAAATTTCTAATGTATATATGTATATTTGAAAATTTTCTCCGAAACTGATCGACTTGAAATTTTCAGGTAATGTGTATATCTAAGATGGATTCAAGGATTACAAGAATCAAATGATTACAAATTTTCATATTAATATTGTTTTTTTTTTTTATTACACACGGAAGTGGGAATTTTTTCAGAAAAAACTATGTTTTTTTGGTGAAGCCGCCAATTTGTCAAAAACCAGAATTTTGACTAGATTTTCGATCATTTCCAGTATTTATCTAATTACAGTACAAATGATGAAAACTATTTCATTGAATTTTGCGCAGAATGTAAGCTTTCAGAGCTTAAACCAATTTAGGTGGCAAGGAAAATTATCAATTACAAGCTTAATATCCAACGCATACGCCACGACGTATACGCAATCTTTCATATCAGCAACATGGAATATTATTTCGAATTGTCTTTGGCATAAATACCGTAGACAATTGTGCTCTGAACTAGCTTCAAACATACGATGTTTTAGAACACCATTGAACAGCGTTGGAATCGAAAAGATTGTCCTTAGATTCGATGTCTTTATGTGCAAGAGATCCTGCGACTTCCGATTAATTATGAACTAGTCTACTTGAGGTCTATCCACTTTGAATTTAATTGATAACTACTGTAAAAGCATCTCAAAATATTTCACTCTTTCACAGTTACTGAAGAATTTCGATCATCTGACAATCCAGCCAAAAAATTCATCGCGTTCCCATTACGTAGACCCTAGTTTATTTGATCGAAAGATTTAGAAATTATGATTCATGTATTTTGCTTGCCGCCTTTTTGGCACAGATACGAAAATCGCTTTACAGACGCAACGCATCTAGTGTTTGATTTATGACTAAACTTAACTACAATATATATGCTGAAAATTGACCATGAAAATCAACCCGTTCGACAAGTGAATGTAAACGAAAAACATGGAAATACAGTCCCACGCAATAAAAAATAACAAAAACTAAATAAAAATAAGAATACAAAGAAAATTAAGTAAACAGAATAAGCATAAAAATCGAAAAAAAAACAATAAAAAAAATCATAAATACAAATTAATACGTACGAATTAAAAAAATTGGTATAAAAGCCATAAAAAGTAAAACTGGAAATGCAAATTGAAGGAACAATCACGAGAGTGAGAAGAAGAGAGAGTCAACGAGAGCAAGCGATAAATAAATCAATGCGCGAGTAGCAAACTTATTGTTGTTCTACATTGTCACGGGATTTTAGCAATCTTTCGAAATGAGAACAAATTTAAAGGCGGCAACTAAAAGCGTAATGCAGCAAAAATATGTCACAAATGAGAGCTAGTAGAACACGAAACAAGAAAAAACAACAATAAAATCAGCTAAATACAGTAAGCTAACACAAGTAGCAGCTGAGAAGCGTCAATAGCCAGCGACAACCACATTATTAAATAAAAGCCTCAACCAGTCAACAATGAAGTTGATCACCAACAATTGCAAACAGCTAACGGATGAGCAGTAAAAGTGAATTGTGCACGCTGAGCAAGATCAACACGACCTCGCCGCCTGCTCACCGCACTACCGCTGCCAGCAGCAAAACAATTATATATAGAGTGGCGCTTAAGGCTATGAGCACAGTGAAATTCGGTAGCGCAGAAAATAAATAATAAATAAATAGAAAAAAAAAATTAATAAAAACGAAAAAAGAGAATTTATTTATATGTTTCTAAAAAATTATATAATATACATACATACATGTGTCAATATAAATTTAATTTTCAAAAGTTTATACTAATTAAAAATTAAGACTATTGAAATTTAAATTTTTTTTTTAGAAAATTTGTAATGAAATTGAATTTAAATTTTATTTTATGATATTAGAGATATTTTTTCTAAATATTTATATGCGCAATTAAAATAAAATTTTTTTGGTTGGAAAATTTTATTTTAAGTTTTGTTTTCATAATATGATGAATACTTTTAGTAAATTATTATTTGGACTAGTAAAATTTAATATTTTTGATTGGAAAATTTTTAATGTTTTTTAAAAAAATTTAAAGGAAATTTAGTTTTTGTTTCCATAAGGAATACTTTTTTCTAAATATTTATATGAACTATTGAAATTCCATTTTTTTAAATTGGAAAATTTTTAAATTTTGTTAAAAAAATTTTTAAGAGAAAGGTAGTTTGAATTTTTTTAAATAATATTAGGAATATTTTTTCCAATTCGCATATGAATACAAGTAGATTTTTGAAATTTAATTTTTTTTTTAAATTGGGAAATTCCGAATTTTTTTTTAAAGAAAAACAGAATGCGAATTAAAATGTTACTTAAATTTTTATTTTCATAATATTAGGAATATTTTTTTTAAATATCTACCATATATGTACTATTGAAATTAAATCTTTTTAAAATTGAAAAATTTCGAAATTTTGTTTAGAAAATTTTTAAGGAAAAGGTTATTTGAATTTTTTTTTATAACATTAGGAACATTTTTCTAAATATTTTTAGGGAAACATTTTTTAATGAAAACGTATTTTTAATTATTTTTTGTTTACTTTTATATTTTATTTATTTTGTTTACTATTATAATACAAAATTTTCAACATAAAGCTGCTTTAAAAAATGTTTAAATTTCATTTTTCATCAGCAATTTATTTTCATTCGTTCTACGCTTTCTCTTCACTCTTTATTGATCTCTTTCTACCGTTCCACGCTCTGATCACTGCTGCACTATGCACATAGCCTTAACCAAACAACTCATTTGCGTCGCATGATCTCCCCCACCAAGTGAATGTGCCCACACACAATTATACATACATACATACACATATGCACACGGGCATGAGCGTTTCAAAATAAAAATATTGTTAAAGTATAAAATTCTATAGATTTCCATATAATATAGAATAAGTATGTGGGATTTTTGTTAAATTTTAGATGCAGTGTTTTTAGTCAGTTTACGAACGCGCGCTGAGACCGGTGCAGTGATTGAGGCGAGTGGTGAGTGGCGAAGGGTTAATGAAATTTTTTCTATAAAAAAAAGTTGTAAAAAACGTGTGAAATCACTTGCTTAAGCTATTTTACACATATTTAATTTTCACTTGTAAACTTGCAACATAAAATAATTGCCGTCATTTCGGAAAAGCGCGAAATTTACCACAAGTGTGCGAAAAGTTTTAGGCTTCGTAAGTTGTTTTACCATTTTTGTCTTGGCAAACCATCAAAAGTGAGTTGATACGGTTACATCAGCAGCTGAATGAAATATATTGGAATTCTACTAAATTAACGGCAAATATTTTTTATTAAAAAAAAACATAATTTTAAAAGCTGCACAATGGGCTTAGGTAAAACTACAACAAAGCATTTGTTGTTGTTGCTAAATTTCATATTTACGGTGAGTAATAGTTAAAGTATTATTTTAATTTTAATTTTTTTTTTTGTATGGCCTTAATTGCAGTGGTGTAATACAACAAGTACGACGCATGCATTTATAAGTATCAAATATTCGCGTACCTTGCTGGAAAATTTTGGATAAAGTTGGCTTTGGTTGACACGTTAGAAAGGTTTGCGTGGACAAGAAACAAACACAAATTGATTGAATTTCTGAATAATTTTTAATATAAATTATTTAATCGGATAAGCTAAGTAAAATCCCGCAGCATTGATATTGAAATCGAAAGAGTGACAAAAATAGATACAGCCCAAGACTTTGCTGGCGCTGAGAAACTGTCCTTTTTTTAATATTAATTGCATTGCATTAATTTCAAAAGCAACGAAGAATGCAAAATTAATTTAACGATTTATATGTATCATTTCGTAATTTTTTTTTACTATTTCGATAACTACGCTAATAAGTATAAGTTATTATCATGTCACAGAGGCAGAGACCGCTTATCACAAAGATATTGCCTTGGTATTTCCGCCAGAGTAATTAGATTTCCTGCAGGGCATGTTGAGGTTTATAATATATGAAGGTGTTTATAACCAATTATTTTTTGCTTTTTGCATCATTAGCGCATTGTTGCCTTTGCCTTTGTTGTAAACACCTGTCTCTAACCATATTTTAGCATATTCTTGGCAGCCAATAGGGGTTTCAATCTAGTATTCATTCCAAACAACATAAAAAAGATGTTGGAGTTTAAAACTCAACATTAAGTCGTAGAACCGACTGCCTAAAAGAAAAATAGATGCATCGTGTCTTCTTGATTTCCAATTAATCATATTTTCTTATGTTTGCAATCTGACCGCCCTAGGCTCGTTATTTGAGTGGGGACGCATTAATTGCAAACTCAAAACTAAATCGAACTCCAGTTTTGCCGAGGGATATGCATTTTTTATAACCCTATTTCAGAGACATTATTGGAATTCCTATAAAAATTTCAGCCTCGTAAAGGTATCTGTCGCAAAAGAATATGTTTTATGAGCCGTATTTCAGGAGCTATAGAAAAAAATGCTACCTATTGAGGTCCAGTGCAAAATCAGTCTCTTGACATTTATTTAATTTGTAAATTTAAAGCAATTTAAATAAATACCAAATAGTTTATACACATATATATTTACCAGCTGCTTTATGCGAGTCGTCCATCTACATACAGTATATGGAAAATTGGTTTAAGCGTTGGCATGCTTATGTTGGCACAAAAGGAGCCTGATTTGAATGCGATAATAAAGATTTGTTATGAAATGTATGAAAATTTATTTTTTTTCTCAGTCCGGGTCAAATATGATCACATGGTATACACATACACATAAAAATTTTTTTTTTTTAAATTTAAGTTTCTTTTTCTCACACTCTGTATTTAACTAATCATACGAGTATATTTTGTATTAAGCAAATTGAACAATAACTCCAATTATTTTTCAGCTGCTTGGCATTGTTGTAATCGCATTTGGCATTTTCGTACTGGTTAGCGCGGCCAACAACAACATCGATCATGGTGAGAATTTAGCCGGTGGACTCATAATTACGCTGGGTATTATAATTGTGGTGATTTCAATATTCGGTTGCTTGGCGGCGATACACGAGTCACGCAGGAAATTGATTGCTGTAAGTACCGTAAATAAACAAAGTGCACCTCACGAGAGTGTATTTATATAGAATTGCAAATAAAGTAATTATGTTTGTAATGCCTCCACACCCGCACAGTACATCATCAGCTTAATAGTGTTGATACTTTTGCAACTCATTTTGGCTGCGATGGCCTCACAAGGCACCAAGGATGGGCTGGCGGGCAGCGTGCACGACGGCTTCGAGGAGCTATGGGAATACGAGTTGAAAGAGCCTGGCTCTTTGGCCTACTACGAGAATTGGGTATGTATACACACATATACGCAGATGCATACCGAGACGAAAAATAGTAGTTTATTTCATTTACTTCACTTTTTCGCATTAATTAAAATTAATTTCCAATTATTATTATTTTTTTTTTTTTTTGTAGTTGCACTGCTGTGGGGTCAACAACACCGACGACTATCATCGCATCCAACACGATATACCGCGCACATGTTGCAAGGACCGCAACTGCCAAATCGTCGATAACATCTACAAGGAGGGCTGTCAGTCGAAGTTTGAGGAGTACCTGTCGGGCAAGATGCTCATGTTCGGTGTGGTCAGTTGGATTTTGATTATTGGCGAGGTGAGTGGTAGCGGCGAGGATTATGTCTCAATTTTTTTTTTTCTTAAATATTCGAGTTTATCTATGGTATTTTGCAGATCATTGGCGCCGTGTTGGCTTGGATGTTGTACAGTAGTGTGAAAAACGAAAGCAGAAGAAATCTACGATGGATGTAGTACATTTCAGGAATTTCAAATCCAATTTTTTGTTCAATCGAGTGTAGTTTTTTAAATCGTGTTTACCGCACATAACGACTGTACCTAATGTTATTTTTTATTGTTCAAAATTAAATTAAATTATTATATTACAACTAACTAGTCAAACGGTGAAAATAAAGATATTTAATTCCAATTGGAACTTTTTTATTTGCTGTGAAAAAATATACGTGCCGATAATAACAGGTTGTAAAGTTTTGTAAATGACAAAGTGATCCATAGAGTAATGCTACTTTAAATTTATAAAAAAAAAAAATTTGTAAATTATAACAATAAAAAAATTTTCCAGCACATCACAAATTGTTTGAAAAAATATATTTAAGAGAACTGATGTCATTCATGTCACTGGCTCGGCTAATTTTGTATTTGGGCCTTAAGTTAACTCAATTTACCACAATTTTTTTTCGGCTCCATATAACTGAAGACTTACTTGATATAAGGACCCAAATCATTAATGAATTATAAGTGAACTTGATTACAGTAACTATAAAATATAATAACTCCGAGGAGTTCAAGTCCACAATTACTATTTAGGTCCACAAAAAATCATGTATCAAGCAACTTACCATTACCTGTAAAGATGTTAGTGCTAATATTCTTAAAGGAAAGTGCACTCAATTGTCAAATAATGAGGTTGATTTGGATTCTGTAAGATAACGTTCGATTGTCCCACAGTTACCGCTTTTAGTTAGTTTAGTTTTTTGTCAGGTGGGAGGTTAAATAATAAAATAAAGGAATTTTGGGGGACCAATCTTTCTATGTTTGCCATGAAATTTTTAATAGAGATATATGTAGTATAGAATACCATTTGATCAAATTGACCCGGTTTGACTAAAAATTATATTTTTGCGTACTTTAATATAAATCTTTACTATCGCTTTTAAAATAGGCTTCTGAGCCAATACTAACATGCCAACGTTTAATCCAATTTTCCATATCGAGATGTTGAGATCCTCTGATGCCAACACGACGATTTTCAAGCACTGTTTCCACAATTTTTTCGATGTTATCGCCATTATCAGAGGTAGATGGACGACTCGCGTGAGCCAAGTTTTCGATGACTTCACGAACTTTACTGAATGCTTTCTGTATTTATGGGACGTAAAAGCATAATCAGGCGTTTTCTCTCTGATAATGCTGCAATCTTTTTATACCGAATCTTTCCAATCTCATTTCTATAAAATAAGTTAACTAACTTCTATAATAACTAGCAGATTTATCAAACGTTTCGTACTTTACTTTTAGGGAAAGAAATATCTGTCATTAGTTGTTTTGCGCAAAGTTCATCCATTCGGATTATATATACCTGCCCCATAAAGATATCATTAGCTCGAATAAGGATCTCGTAAAATTGCCCCAGTCTTTTTCTGTCAATGGGGAAACTTAATTCAGCTAAAAGCCAGACTTAAGTTCTAGTTTTCTACAATACAATAACCCATGTATAAGAGAAAATATTTAGAATCTAGAGGTTTTTAGTTTTTCTGGAAAGAAACATTCCCTTTTTATTTTTTTTTTAGCAAATTTACCGATCTTGAGTTTTAAACTTAATTTACTAATAAATTCAACCGACTCTCGACAAAAAATATCAAAACTCTGAAAACAGTTCTGAAATAACAAAATGTTTCAAATATATAATGAATGTGATCAATATGTGATCTCATGAGAAAACAGTACATTTTTATATTAGCTGTAACCTTTCTGGACTACCTCGAAAAACAATATTTTCAAACTGCACTGCAACAAAAAATTTTAATAACGAGATTCCATTTTTAGTGCTCGAAATACTTAAATATTGTGCAGACAGAAGAAGATAAATTTCATAGCACAGTAATTTATTTTACTTACACATGTAAACAATTATATAGTATTTGTAAGTAAATAAATATGTGTGCATGTGTTTCGTTAAATGGGGAAACCGGCAAATGCGAGTGCCGAGTTGCGATATGTTGGTGGATATGTTTACACGCCGCATAGATTTGTTTCCGAATTGACTTTTCAGTCATTCGATTTTCCACGAGCTATGCTTTCTCTAGGTATTCTTCCGTGTTTGTATTTGAATTAATTTGTGTGAACATGCAATCCACCAGCAGTAGTCGTCAATGTGGCACGGACGCGATCATTTCGTGGCAAACGACTCACGTTGATGTGCAGTGCTCGATTTGGTTTTTTATTCGGGGGTGTGTAAACAAATGAAAATTAGAAAATCTAACGGAAATGCAACCGTATTATAATTAACAGTTTTTTGTAACAAACATAAATATTTATTGAAAAGAAACTTAGAAAGAAATAATAATATAGTAACTCTTGAAGGCAAAAAACAAATCAACTCGGCGGTAATCTAAAAATAAATAAAAAGTTGTGGCTAGTGATTTTTTTTATTGCAGAAACTTACATACATATAAGTATGTACAAGGCCAAAACCAAAAAATCATTTAAAAAGACTGCGAGTAGAAGATTGCGTGCAGCAGCTTTTATCTTTATTTTTAATGATTACTTTTTATTTCAGTTGTATTTTCATCATATTTTGAATATTTTATGCGAAAGAGCGTTCCTACTGCGTTGGTGAAACATAAAAATGAGCTATGAGTGGCATGAGAAGAAAACAAAACAATTAAAAAGTTGTGTAAATAAAACCAAAAACCCGAAAAGGGAAGAGAAAAAAAACCAAAAAATAAAAAATAAATGAATAGATAAACATAAATAATAGAAATGCTCAAAATAGAGAAAAAATTTCAAAAAGATAAATAATTAAATTACAATTAAAAAAATATAAATTATATTTAATTAATTTAAAAAAAAGTGAAGCCAAAATAACACATGTATACATATATTATCTGCCAAAAAAGTTTCCTAAATGACACTTAACAAACTTTTCAACACCTCTGTCTTCGCATACATTCATTAGAACGACAGAAACAAAATTTTGTGATTGAACAAACTGTTTAATTAGAATTAAGGTGTCCAATTATTTATCTAATAAAACATTTCTATTTGATTCACAGCTAAATAAAGTGTCAAAGGCAACATGAAAGTGCCCTTCTCGAAAGCCACGCTGTGGAAATATGTGTTCCTAATGATAAACTGTTTGATAACTGTGAGTATTGAAGAACAAAAACTAAGCTTTAAACGCTTCACAGGTGCATTTCTTATAGCATAAAAGGCTATAAACGGATCTTTTTATTGATTTTGATCGGCCAGTTTATATGGCTATAATACTTGTAGTTCGATATCAACAATTTATTCAAATCAAAATAATTAAAATTGGAGGAGATACTCGTAAAATATTTAAAAAATTTATTCACAGATTGTAGCATTGTGTTGGATAAAGATCCATGCCGAATTTCGCGAAGAACTATTGTCAAATAAAATAGTTTTTCAACTGAGCAAATACGCACGGGCAGACGGACGGACATAGCTAAATCGACTCAGCTTGTCACGATGATCATTTATATAAATACTTGAAAGGGACTCCGACATTTTCTTTCTTCCATTATCGACATTAGTGACCCTAATCAAGATTGAAACAAGCAAAATCAAGCCTTTAAGATTTTTAAAAATTAAAAAATAAATAAAAAATCATTGCAAAAATCCTACACAACAGCGCCGTCTACCGCCTCTGATATAATATGTAAAATACTTAATTTTATTGGAAGTTGTAGCTTAAAAATGACTTTATATTCCAGTTAGAACTGTTTAAAGGTACATGTTTTAAAAAAATTATACATAAAATTATTTGGAGAATATTCCATATTGATTGGAGCGAACGAATAAATTCTGAAAACTTAAAATAAAATAGGAATACGGGGAGGTCTAACACAAATGCTTCGTTGCACATCAAGCTTTTCATGAGAAAATATGCAAAAAATCCTATAAGGTGTAGTGTGATTTTTCTTGTCAAATTAAGCCGTTTAGAAACTTAGAGGTTAATCTCTCGTCGTTTGAGGCTGTTTTTTGAAATTCGATGTCGGAAATTGTTTACTACTTCAGCCGATGGACAAATCACTCAACGAGAATTCTTCTGTAGTCATTGAAATATTATAATTTGGAGTCATTTACCTTCCAAGAAGAAACGATATTTTTCGCCAGATTAATGCAAAATTAATTTAATATAATTTAAAATATATTTTTTCAATTTATCATAGCTTTTACGCATTTTCGAAACAATTATTTACTTATTCACAATATTCATAACTACGTAAGCACATCTGATCTTTCATGGGTAGATCATTCAACCTCATAAAAATGTCACACATTTAGACATTTATTGAAACAAGGTGGAGCCCCAAATATGACGTTAAACAAAAACAAGAATACAGCAACATTAAAATTGCTTGAAAAATCTGAAATAAATATATACTGTAATTAAATATTTGTAGCAGACAGTACCCGATCGTATTTCAATTTCTTTTATTGCAGCTGCTTGCATGCATTTATTGCGTAGAATTTTGACCGAGACACAGAAAATACATGAATAAACTGTACACATACTGTGTTTTTCGTTAGTTGTGAATTAAATTAACACAGATTTATGAATTTAGTATTGAGTGTCTAACTGAAAACTCGTTGGTTGTTTTGACAAAAGTAAGAAATCGTTTAACTAATTACTAATAACAGTTTCCAGACTGGCTTAGCGCTAATTTATTTCATGTATATTTCGACTCTTAAAATTTTGCCTCTTAAAACACTGCAATTTTCTCAAAATTATCAGAAATCTTAAAATGATGGAGCGAAGATTGTCCGATCTGCCAAAATTTATATTAATTGTAAACAAATATTCCCCCTCCTTTGTTCATGACGTCACGAACTAGTATTAGTTTCTGTCAAATGCACTCCAAAAAAAGTAATGACACTAAACTATCGTAATCTCTACTCGTAGCATTGGTAGTAAAAGATATGTATGTACCGCAGTCATACATCTTCGAAATCAGACCTTAAAGTAAGAATTCATTGATATCCAAGATTGAATGGCATATAGTTCAGCAATTTTCGAGAGATTTTCTACTTCATAATAAACATTTGCAATTAGAATTTTCTAAAAACTATTCTGTGCTTAAGAAAAAATTAATTTTATTTTAATTTCAGGCCTTCGACGTTCTACTCATCTCATGCGGCGTCGTTTCCCTAGGCGGTGCCGGCTCTTTAGCCGGTGCTTACACCGCAGCATCCATTGGGTTCCTAGCAATGTTCATCGCCTTTACGGGCGCCATGGCATCGGTGCGTCAGTCATTGATGCTATCTTGGGCGGTAAGTGAGTGGCAAGTCGGCAATCACACATAATTAACCGATAACTAAATTCATGACATATAATTATACCAATATAATTTTTTTGTTTGCGATTTTTGGTTAATTTCGCAGTACATAGTTACGACAGTGCTATGCATAGTTTTGGAAACGATTTGTATGATCGCATTTGGCATACTCAAAGATGACTTCTATTTAATGGCGGTCGAGCGTGTACAAGGCATTTGGGATGAACGACCAGAGACCCAGGAGGCATTAGACGAAATTCAAGAACAGGTCGCCAGCGACGAGTTCTTTCATAATATTATTTTTATCAAATTGATTTTATTTATTTGTAGCACCATTGCTGCGGACGCGACAGTCCACAGGATTATTTGCCTGACAAACAGCAAACTCTACCTGCGAGTTGTTGTCGCTGGGGCGATTGTTCGGAGGATAATAATATTTTCGCCAGAGGCTGTGTTGATGCGGCGACGAGCTTTTTTAACGAACAAAGTGACAATCTTATTTTGATTATTGTTGGACTGATTGCTGTTCAGGTAAAGTGAGAATTAGATAAGTACATAACTTCATAAAAACTGTTTAGACACTTTTTTTTTTAAATATTTTCGTCAAAATTTTATATACAAAAAAATAACGCTTTTTGAATAACTTTGAAGCAGTTATAGCAAGTATTTAACATTTTTTTATATTTTTTATTTACCCAAAACACGAAATAAAATAAGGAACCGTTCGCTAGCACAATTTCTAAGCCAAAAAATATTTTTAAATCTTTTTAGGTATTTGGCGTGATTGCTGCCTATTACTTCACTCGTAGCATGGTAAATCTTAAGCAGAAGCGGGAACAAATCATTATTAATGAGTAATTAATCGATTTTATACCACAATATGTCGCAAAAATTGGAAAAATTTGTGGAAATAGAATATTCTTTGAATAAGATTGATGTAAAGGAATTGTGAAAATGTACAAAAAAAAAATGTTGATCAAAATATATATGTAACTGAATAAAATATTTTAATTGGAATAATATAATAGATATAAAAATAATAAAATTGTTAAATGAAAAAATAAAAGAAACAGTTCTTATTTTTAGTCTCTGTTGCGGAAACTGAATAGTTTGATTCATAGCAGAGGTGCAGTGATCTTTTTCACGAACTTCAACTTTTGCAAGACTGAGGTTAAAACATCTCGGTAGAGGTGAGAATTGAGGTTAAAAAGTCTACGAAGACCAACATATGTTGGCAAGCCAATTGAAAATGATTTCTCAACCCACACAAGGTTTACATATACTAGAAATGCAGCAAGATCTATTCTAGAGTTATTAAGTGTAACCGTAGAGGTTGGGAATTGGGAAAAAAGTATATATTTTAATTGATACTCTAAGAAAAGCAAAACTCTACCGAAAAGCTATATATAAGTAGATGAACCAAATTTTTATAAATCTATGCTTCAACCTAAAAATCAAATATAATTTGCAGTAAAGAAGCATATTTTCTTAATTTAAAATGATTGTAAAGTTTAATAAAAAATTATGCTTTTAGCATTCTTAAAACCTTAAAAGTCACTGAAAACTTCAAGACTTGAAAAAGGTTGATGTGAGGATGGAGATGAAGCTTTAACGGTTTTACTCTCACATAGAACTTTTACAAACGCACAGCACTTCATACATCTTCTTATCGCAACCTAAACACAGTCAACATGTTGCTTAACATTGTTGCCAGCAACATTTACACTTCGTGCACACACAAGCTGGCCATAGCGCGACCGTTGTTGCGGCACGAACGATTGATTACGAAAAGCGCACAGCGAGAGCGATCAAGCGCAGCGCCGGCGTTGTACAAATCCACACGAACATTCCCCAACGAACAAACACACGCACACACACCGGCAGACAGAGGTCGACACGCAGCTAGCGCGCAAAATACGATTACAGGTTTGAAATATTCGATTTTTTGGCATTTCGAAAACTGACTGCGATCGAAACGGTTGACCACTGGGCTTCTGCTTGTGCTATAGTGCTACTTGTTGTGCAACTGGTTTGCTAATAAAATTGTAAATTTAAAATATTTGACTTTTGCGTTGTTGAATTTCGGTGCGAGTTCTACTCAAACGTTTTCTACGACTTTCTTCAGTGCTGTATGTATTCTTTGTGTTTAGTGTTATTGTTGTTTTATTGCGTTATTTGCATACACGACAAGTTTAAGTTATAACGGTCACTGTAAATAACTGCAACGTAGTATTGGCATCATTAAAATATTATTTTCATTTTAGATTTTTTGATTTTTGCGTATAGATAAGTGCATAAAGCAAAGAGATTTTTCAAAATGGGCTGTACATCCGGTGTAATGAAATGTCTGCTGAATATAATGAACGTGCTGATGGCGGTAAGTTCAATATGCAATTATTGCAAATGCTATGCAGCAACAACAACAAGAACAAATGATTTTTATTTTTTTTTTCGAAATAAGAAGAGCTATTTGCTTTCAAAAGATACAACAACAACAACTTGTTAATTGACGTGAAAAGTCCGTTACATGCTGTTATTGTTCTTGTTGTTATTGTTATTATTTCTTTTGTTGTTAACAAAACAATTGCATACACAAATAAATGGTGATGAATAATACTGCATACACACATACACATATACAAAAGCGTCAGTAAGGCGTTTTCACTGTCACTTGGCAAGCAAAACAATAAAAGCAAAAATGCACAAATTTAAATGTCTGCAAGCAACAAAAAACAAAAAAAAATATATTGTACAAAAACAGCAACAAATTAAAAACAAAAACAACCAAAAATTAAAAATATAAAATTCAACAAACAAAAAAAACCCTTGACTTTGGCTGCACCAAAGCTATAATACCCTTCACAGGTGCATTTCTTGTAGCAGAAAGTGGTATAAAATGATCTTTATTGGATTTTGATCGGCTAGTTTGTATGGTAGCTATATGCTATAGCGATCTGATCTATACAATTTATTCGAAGATTGTAGCGTTGCTTTGGATATTACTTTATGCCGAATTTCGTGCAGATATCTTGTCAAATAAAAAAAGTTTTCCGTACAAGAACTTGTTTTTGATCGGTCCGTTTGTGTGGCAGCTATATACATTAGTGGCCCGTTATCAACAATTTCGATAAATAATCAGCTTCTTGGGGAAAAAAGGACGTGTGCAGAATTTCAGATTGAGTCCCTCAGTTCGCGTATATACATGCAAAAGGACCGACAGACGGACGTGGCTAAATCGACTTAGCTTGTTTTTAATAGGCCTCTGACGTTTCCTTCTGGATGTTTAACACTCCGTGACAAACTTAATATACCCTTTTCAGGGTATAATGAAAAAATAAAAAAAAATTAATTAAAAAGACAAAAAAAAAATACCACAACAAATCTTTAAAATAAAAATTAGAAATGTTACTTCAAATAAAAAAGCCTTTAAGCATCTAATAAAAAATCGCTGCCAACCGTTTGTCATTTTGCCGCTGCGAATACAGTCACCTTTTTTACGTTTTGTGTATACTTTACAAAATGATATCATCGATCGGCCGCTAAAATGTTAATTTGAATTCAAAAGCAGCTGTGTCAATATGATTCTTTTTTCTTGGCTTCTGTGTTTTTGTTGTTTTCGTTTCACTGAACTCACATGCCGCATGCCTAATAAAATACGGTTTGCACGAAATTTTGTAAGTATGTGCGTGTGTGTCGTTTTGTGCACAATTAATACAAATATGGCGGTTATTTATGTGCGAGCATATATACACATCAGCTCCATTGGTGAATAAGTCACATCAATGGCTTGTATCGCCTACCGTTTGAGCTTGTGCTTAACCACCAGCTCAACTTTGAGTTCACTTTGGCTAAGCTTGTGATATTGTTTGTTGTTGTGGCGATATTTTGGTGCGACAATTCTCGATGCGCACACTTACATACATACTACAAGCAAACATTGATAAATGGCGAATGTGTGCGTAAGGCAAATATGTAAACATGTAAACATGTATGTATGCATGTATGGTGTGTGTGAGTGTGTGCGCACAGGTATTTACTTGTTTAAAACTCGAAATTTATGTATGCCACCAAGCCGTCTCGCCCGCCGGTACCGTAAACAGCGTTGAATGAAACGCGTAACGCTGCCAAGTCACGTAAAATAGTATGGTACTTCATACAGCCATACATATACTCACATGTATATGCATATATGTATGTGTTTGTATGTAAGCATTTGTTGTTTTCTTATTTTGTTGTCGGGCATCTACATTGCATTCAAATTGTTTATGGTTTTTTTTTCTAATTCTGTACATATATTTGTGCAGGGTGGTTTGAAAACTGATCGCAATTGAGATATTTTAATTTACTAATTATGTGTATGTATATATTTATTTGGAAAATTGCCTATTTTCATTAGTTTTTAAGTATTCTTGCTTATTCTTTTGGTTCGATTGTTCCATGTAATAGTCGGTTGGTTTGGAACAACATAAAAATTGTTAACAGTGTTGCCACCTGTTTGTAAATTAAAATTTTGAAACATAAATAGATTAAAGAAACCCTACTAAAGTGCTTTATCAATGCTTAGAGCAAAAAATTATTGTAATAGGGTTACCAGCTGTTGAAAAATTAAATTCAATGAAGTTTATAGGTTAAAAACCATTTAATAGTCGGCTTGTTTGAAATAACAAAAAAAAAAAATGTTAGAAAATTTCAATTTTGAAACATAGATAAGTTAAAGGAGAACTACAGTTTGAAAAGGTTTAAAATAGTTTAAAGTGGGAGAATTTTATTAAATAGGGTTGTCATCTGAAAAGTACTAATTTAATAAAATTGTTAAATTAAAGGAACTTTTATGAAATTGATATCAATTTAAAGAACTTCTTTTTTTGTAATTTAATCTTTTGAGCAAGTTTACCGTTGGCAGTAATTTTGAGTAGATTTACGCCGGTTTGAGTTATGTATTATATTTAATTCAAATGATAACGTAAATAAAACAGTTTAAGCTGGATAACAAAGAAAATGGGTTCTTACTTAAATTTAAATAATTAATAAAACTAAAAGTTTATAAAAAATGAGTTTAATATATTACTATTTAGTAAATGATTTCGGTTTAATTAAATTTAAGCCAATTTTAATTAATTAAATTATATTTAGTTAAAACAAATTTTACTTAATTTTAATAATTTTTTATTAATCTATTATTTTTTATTACAAATTTATTATAAATTCATTAAATTTTCATTTAATTTTTTTTATTGTCAGTGTAGAGTTCAAATTTTATAATTACCAATTTTTAATTTTGTGCCTTAATATAAAACCAGTTTGCAAGCCACCATTTATCGGTGCATTCAATTATATTATACAATGAGTTAGTTGCTGCAAACTATTTGGGTAAAAGCTCAATGCCATTGCTAAGCAATTCATGCCAAATTAGAACATGCAACTGCACATTACTCTCAAATACACCATGCACACACATATATACACAGTATATGCATTATATAAACATAAATTATTTTTAAATAAATTTTTCATCATTCTCCCAAACTCTCTTCCCGCAGATCTTCGGCCTGCTGTTGATCGCTTTGGGCGCCCTGAGCTTCAACACCGCACCCAAAGTCTACATCTATTATCTATTTATCGTGGGTGGCATTAATTTCATAGCTGCAATGTTGGGTTGCTGTGGCATTTGCCAGGAGGATGTTTGTCTCACGACCACGGTGCGTATGAGTAACCTACACACATCGTGAATGCCAATTTTTGCCCACACACGCGCACTCGTATAACCAGTTTACGGGTTTTTAATTGCAAATTTGATTGATTTTTTTAATTGTTGCTGTTTTTGTTTTTTGTTTTCGTACTTTTTTTTAGTATGCCATCGTCATTGCGCTTTCTTTGGTCTCTCAAATTGTTGGCAAAATCTACGCTTCCGATTCGGCGGCAATCAAGGAATTCGCTACCAAGGATGTGGAAAAGACCTGGTTAGAGGAAATCAAAATGCCAGGAGCTATGAATAATACGCAACAAACGGTAAGTTTGTGGGAAAATGTTTTAACAGAAATTATGAATGAGGAGCGAACTAATTGACATTGCTTATTTTATATTTCTCGTGTTGATTCAAACGCAGGAACCTTAAGTAGCCCATTTTTGTATGTAGCTATCATGTGCAAATTATGACCATGAATTTTAAAAAAAAGTAAGAATAATAAAATATTTACAATGCAACAAATAAGCAAAATTTGTATGAGGAGTATTTGCTGTTGTATATATGGTATACAAACAATACCTTTTTTGGGGTGTTACCACTAGAATTGTGAATAATAAGTATTTGGTTTGCAATACTTACATTTGACAATAAAAAGCCGCAGCAATAATATCCTTCACTTTTATTTTTGTATAGAATGAGTGGGTATAAAATGATAGATCAATATCAGTTTGTATGGCAACTATAGGCTATAGTGGTCCAATCGAAATAATTTGTTCGGAGATTGCACAACTACCTTGGTCGATAACCCATGCCCAATTTCGTGAAAATATATTGTCAAATATAGAAGTTTTCCATACAGGGACTTGACCGATCATTCTATAGTGCGCCGATATTAGCGTTTTCGATTGAGCAGTTTTTTGGAGAGAAAAGGACGCTTGCAAAATTTCAGATCGATACACAAGTCGCAAAAGCTTACTTTACATAAATTCAATTCTAAATTATAGTTTGTATTAAAATAAAAATAAATATATATATATTGTATATAGAAGTAATTGAACTCCGCACTTTAAAAGAAATTATTAAAAACAAAAAAAAAAAGTAATATGAAAAATTTTAAGTCCAAAAATTACTAAATAAATATTTGTTTTGCCACAGAAAACTGATAACAAAGTTTCAAAAAAGAACAAAAACAAATTCCTATCGGTTGTTAAAAGGCCGATAACACAATGTTCGCACAATGGATTGTGATATATGAAACCAAATAAGTCAGAGTTTTTGTGATTAATCAATGCAAATATGTGATATTTCCAGAATTTTTAAAATTTAACCCTTACTTCATTTGGGTGTATTTAAGAAATACAAGTTAACTTTTCGTACGACTTCAAAACTATTTATTAAATCTAAAATTATTTTTTACTACATTTCCTAAATGTTATAGTGCTTACATATTGTGCGAATGGTAAGCAGAAGCAAACGTTTCTCACAGACTCTAGAGTTTACAAGAACTCACCACAAACGCCAATTTTTTTGGTATATGTGGAGATATAAACTTATTTACTAAACACTAAACATAAACTAGGAGTTTACCAACAAATTTTCTTTATTTCGCCTCAAACTCCACTTCATTATGTTGTTTTTAGGGATTTCAAATTGAACTCCACATATTATACAATTATTTTTATTTTAGAACTCAAAACATTAAACTTGAGTTTATGAATAATAAGAATTTTTACTAATTTTGAGATAATTCAAATTATATTCAAAAGTTCATGTGGTAACATGTACTTACCATTGTAGACTCTCTTGCATCGTTTTCACAGCAGATAGGCAACTGAAAAAAAAATAATAATAATATGTTATAATATTATTTTAAAATTTAGCATTATAAAAATACTTTAATAATATATATGAATCATACATGTGGCGGATTTCACAAGAGGCATCTGCTTGATGCTCATGTTTTATATATTTTTGTGAGCTAGTATTACGGACAAAGTAAATTATATTTTAAGCAGTTATCACATGCAAAACAATGAAAAAATATATGTATGTACATGCATACAAATTTAAGTATTTATTGTGACTCGTTGCTTGATAATTCACAATTTTGTTTAAACGATAAGCGTGTGTCAGTTTAAATATAATATTTTAAAAGAACAAAGAAGTAGCCCAGAATCTATACATATATCACGAACATATGGATATATGTACATGACCTTCAGGCCAATAATTCTACACACACACACATATAAGCTATGATTAAAATTCCAATAATGAAATAATTACTTCGAAGAACAACAAGAAATACATAAGCGATTATCTTCTTTACAGTATCACTGCTGCGGTAAAATCAGTCCCAACGATTATTTCTCTATTGGACGTTCCGCTTACCCCGCCAGTTGTTATCCCAAAATGATCGTAAATCAAACAGCTCTGTGGAATGCCGGTTGTGTGCAGGCGGCGGAAGATGAATTCCTCAGCATTTTCAATTACTCGTCGAGCGGTGAATGGGGAAATCTGATAGTTACGGTAATTAACACAAGCACATACATATGTATATGCAAATACGACTTGCCAGCATACATACATACATATACCTATGTAAACATACATACATACATTTATAAGCGTTAGTAGAGTGTGTGTATGTGTGTTTGCGGCTCATTTGCACCTTGCTGTACTTTACTGTAATTTTGTTTAGAAATAATTTCCGCATTGTACATATGGTATTTACATATTATATGATATTTATTACCACTTTTTTCTGTTTATTTGCATTTTATCATCGTTTTTAGGGTGTGATGCTGCTGTTCGCTATTTACCTGGTCATACGCTTCCGCAGCAAACAGCGTCGGTACGATTACTAAGCCTCTGGGCGTGTGTGTAACGTACAATTTCTATGTTTACTAAAATCCAATTGAAGCATACATATATTTTGGCACCCAAGATTTGCAATACACACTTGCAATGTACATATATGTTTATTACAAAAACAAAAGAAAGAACAAAGCTTTATATCACATCATTTTGCATAATTTTTATATTTGTTGTATTTGTAGAAGGCATTTAGGACTTTGTCGCCTGTTGCAATGTATTTATTTTCTCATAACTGTATATGTATATGTGTACTTTTTCCTTGTAAAAATTTTAATAAAAAAAAAAACAAATAAACAGAATCTGTTGTTGAATACTAAACTGAAAATAACGGGGTTTTACTGTTTCTTTGATAGCGAATACATTTAGGTGAGTACAGTTGTGTGTAAAAAAAATATAAACACAAGTATTTTTGCTGCATTTTGTTTAATTTTTAAACTAATCAACATTTTTAATTGTTACAGTAATGTGCAAAATACAATAAGTTTGTCATATTGACTGATGTTTAGCACTTATAAAATAGGCAGAGCTATACATAATCATTATTGCGTCAATATAGAAAAATCAGAATTTTATAGAAAATCTTCACCTTTTAAATTTTTATACACTGAACAGGGTATATTAAGTTAGCCACGAAGTTTGTAACAACCAGAAGGAAACGTCCCCATTAAGTCGATTAAGTGGTTACATGGGTTCACGGCTTCAAAAAACAAACATTTTTTATTGTCTTATTTGATTCTATAACATCTCTAGAATATGATATGACTGTCCCCCTGTTTGTCTGTATGTATACGAACTAGTCCCTCAGTTTTTGAGATATCGATCTGAGATTTTGCGCACATCCTTTTCTAACCACGAATTTACTGTTTGGCCACTGCTTGTTTACAAAAAATTTGTCTGCCAATTTTTACCATGTGAAAAAAATTGAACAATGAATTCGCTTGAATTGCTGTGTTTCCAATGGAAGTGTTTAGGGGATTCTACATTAGCACGAACACAAGCATTTGATTGGCACAAAGCGTTCGGTGAAAGTCGTAAAGTCATCGAAAACTTGCCTCATGGAACTATTCACCTCTATTATTGCAGATAACATCGAAAAGCACCGTTTGTGCTTTAAAATCATCGTGTTGTCATCGGAGAGATAACAGAGAATCCTAAAATCACTTATCGATCGACTCAAGACATTTTGGTTAATGTTTTGGGTATGGTAGACTCGGGCTTATAAAGCAATCTAGCAATTTAAAGGTGATGCTCATTCTTTACTTTTTAAACCTTCATAAAACGAATATGAAGTCGTGGCCTCCTAAAATTGATTCCTTAATTTATTTTACTACTAAAAAATAATCTCCAAATATATTTTAAAAAAAATTTTTGTTAAGACATTGCCAAGCCATTTGATATTATATATTGCACACTACTGTGCCAAAACATATGTACGTGACTTCAATGAATTATTATTAGTATAAATATTGTTAGCATGCAGAAAAAAACGTGATCTTATTTAAGAAACATATCTATGAACTTGGAAAGAGTCAATAAGTGTTCCCAAGCTGAGAGATATATGTACGTATATGAAAAGGGAAATTACTACTAACACTCTATGTGTCATAGTATCTATGAGTATTTAGAGTGAACGAAGATATCATGAACTCATACGAGCCTAACGAGAAAACTTTAAAGGCTGAAATATACGGAATTTTTGTAGAATCGCAAAAAATATATTTACCTTAAAGAAAAACAGCTCTTCTATCTTCTTTACAAAGTTTTGGAAATTTTCTTAAAAATTTTTGAAACAACAGTAAAAATATAATATTGCTAAAATTACTTATAAAAAGTTTTTGTCAGGGAACAATACGAATAATTGTATATAATATCAGATGTTCACTTTTTCTGTTGATAGAATGGATCAATACTTTAGAAAGTTGTTTAAAGCATTAATGATAGTTTTAAATTATAATACAAACAAAACTTATCGGCAGAGAAAATATAAAGCTAATAAAAGAAAAAGTTCTATATGGCATTTTGTTTTTTCCTACTTAGCTGCAAAAGAACGCTGCAACTCGTTTACATTTCTCTTAAAATTTTCTAATATTCTTAATTGTCCTTTCAGAGTGAATATTGAAATCCCAACTTTTTTTTTTTTTTTTTGTGCATTTGATCTAGGCTTGCTTTGATTACGTATGATTTCAAGAATCTTTCAAAATTTATACACAATAGGGTTTTGTACTTTACACGGCTTTAATCCAAGTTGTGTAGTGTACAAAAAATACACATATGCGCAAAATAATAACAGCATTCGCCAAACATAGTGGTTCATAAAATATCTTTAGAATCGGAAGATAAATATAAGAAGCGCAGAATGAGTAATTGTTTATGCAATATTTGTCTACATATTACGTACTACTTAACATCAAACTCAGCTTATATAATAAGTAAGGTTAAATAATATAGTATTTTATTTTTTTGTTGTTTGTTTGTGCTACACCTACACTACTATTACGCCAACAATTTACTAATTTGAAGGTTTGCGAATCATTTCGCTATTTTTTTGTTACTGAGAAATCGCTTGAGTAATGACACATTTAGACAGTCCACGTAATAATTCCAGAACAATTATTTGACATCATTTCTTTCTTATTATTATTATTACGGAAGCGAGTAGTTATACGTCATTGTTAATCATAAGTCACACTCTGAGCATCATGTGTATTTCATTAATCTCTCTTTAGATCAAATATTAATGACTCATTGCTTCTTAATGACTCTCTTAATCACATTTAGGTAAATGTACTTGTAAGTATACCAATGTATTTTTTATGTATTTTTGACTTATTTTGTAATACGTATTACATAATACTACTTATGTGTATTGTTAATTCTGAAAAGCTTTAATTCGTTGCTAATTTCTTGTAAATCAGTAAAATTCATTACGTGCATTTAAATTATATGTAATTGTATGGTATTAACCGAAGTAAGTAATGAGGTTATTTATAAATGTCATTAAAGCTTTTTGATCTGGCTAAAGAATATTTTATTGTACTTTACAATTACCGTGATTTCGTAGATTTTCACTTTCAAGTACCGCACTAACGGATAATACTTAAAACTAGCTTCTAATATTTCGAAGTTGACAAAGTAATTGAAACACTCGGTAGTTACTAATTTTGGGTAATTCAATTAGTTTTATTCACCGTTGAGAAATGTTTAAATATACTTAAAAACAGTATACTAAGAGAACAAACTAAACCTTTATCTTTGTAAATTTCCAAGGATCAGGCTTTTTTTTGTAAGCACTATTCTGCAACATTTTTAGGCTGTAGAATTTGAATAATTTTCAAATTCTCACTGTAGAGAGATAAATAAAAGATGTGCCCAAAAATAACCAAACTTTAGTTTAAATCGTTATTTATAGAAAATTTTTAATGCAACTAATTACTAATGATACCATTATTTGCTTTCAAACGCACCTTACTTTATGTAAATATATAAATCGGATGACAGATAGTAAAGTTACAGCCATTTCAATAAAAGAAAAAGTGTGCAATTGTTAAATTTTTACAAAGATAAACTATAAAGTTTTGTGTTGAACTTGAAAAAAATTCACTGAGATTTTGGAATTTTTTTATCAATTCGATTTATGATGACGATTGTTTCAGTCGTACTCTCGTTTATATATGTTTTAAACGATTTACAAATTGACATGAGGATTCAAATGACGACCAAATGCCAAGTCGCCCAGAAGCTAGTAGTCGTGGTTGAAAAGATCCGTGAAATGATTGGTATCGATGCAAAATTTACTACGAGAATGTTTTCTGAGGGTTTAAATACGCGTAAAAACACTATTTGGCGAATATTACTTGAAGATTTGGATAAAAGAAATGTCTAGGTACGTTTTGTTCTACATGAATTAAATGAAAACAATAAAAATGAAGAGTTTTTGATGAAAAAAAAAACAAGAAAAAATGTTAACTTCGGTTGTATCGAAGATATAATACTCTTCACAAATACAAAGGCTTCATACAATAACTTGATATAGTGATCTGATCTGAACAATTTCTCCGGAGATAACATTGTTGCCTTAAGCAATAACTTGTGCCTAATTTCGTAAAGATATCTCGTCAAATGTTAAAGTAATTTCTTCGGAGATTACTTTGTTGTCTTAGAAAATAACTTATGCCAAATTTTATGAAGATATTACGTTAAATAAAAAAGTTTCCCATACAAGTACTTGATTGCGATTTCTCAGATATCGGCCGTTCTGATCTAGCAAAGGAGGGACAATCAAGAAGGAAGCGTTGATTTCTAACTCGTATTATTCTTTCAAATTAAGTAAGTTTAACGACAATTTTGGTAGACGATACTTTTGGGAAGGGCTGTCATCACAAAATACTAGATATAATATAGTATTAATATCAAATGAAAGTTTAGTTTGCTTTTATTATATCGATTTAATAAAATCTGATTAATAATAAATAAGCTTACCGTTGGTATTAAAAGCAAATATTTTTAAAGTTAACGGCAAAAAAGCTTTGTAAAAGCTTTTCACCAACAATGGTGAGTTCATTTAGATACGAAATTTTTTCAACGTACATACATACAAGTATGTACATGTATACACGATTAGTAATTATGTCCGTATGCCAGCTTTTATGCTACTATTAAGTTTATTGAATAAAGCAAACTTGTTTTCAGAACTTCATGTAGAAGTGGAAAGTATTAATAAATAGTATGAATTGAGGCAGAATATATATTTGTATTAAGTTTTATGTTATTAAAGCAGTTTGATATTTTAATTTATAATAGCATAATATTATAAAAATCACTTATTTCTACAAATCTGGACAAATATGTTTTTAAATATATGGCAACAATTTACATTTTTTTTTAATATAACAGCAATGATGTACCAGAAGTTTTAATTTTTTTTATTATTATTAAAAAATAAATTTATTTATATCTCTTCTTAATTTATAATATATTATAAAGTTTAATGCATATTTTTTTTTCATTTTCATTTCACGTTGTTAAGGTGAAAGGAATGTCAAAGTATGTTCACTGAAATGTCAAAGTGACATAAAGAATATCCTTTTTGAAGTAATTTAACTAAGTGTAAGTAAGAAAATACCCTCTGGTTTCTGTTAAGTGCTGTTTCTCCAGCGCAAGTAATAGAGAGAAACGCCCGCTCCAGTGAGAGAGCGTGCCAGAAGGCGTCTTATGCGCATGTCTGACTTTTATAAGGATAACCATTGCACTAAGCGTAGTAAATTACTGCATACTAGAGCAGAGATGAACATCTATCAAATGTATTGTTGCGTATGTAAAGTTCTACTACGTGCTTTTAATGAGTGTCGATTATGCCGAGTTGCGGGAGAGTTAATAATTTACTAAGGTACTCCTGCGTTAGGGTGTGACATACCATGATGAATTAAATATTTAATATAAAAATTGTATATATCCTAATTATATAAAATAAGGTGGTTTCTGTAGGCGTCCAGGTATCACGCAAATTTTTAATTTGTACAACCACTTGGGTTGCCAAACATTTTGCTGAAAGTGGTATTTATTACCACTATTTAGAGAATTGTTTCATAAATCACACAAAATAATGATTTTTTTATGTTTTTCATTATATAAATAAATAAACAAATCAGACCATTAGAGGTCATTTAGCCTATTTTGTTATCAGAATTCTTGAGAGCCACCCTTATGTTGTACGTATATACTACAGATCCATTGGATTTTATGCCCACTATAAGATATTTGTGTTATAAGACCGTTATAAATGTTGTTGTAAAGCCCAGCAGGCTAGAGCAACAAAAGCGGGAATGTAATGGCAGCTTCAAATATGAAGACAAATTGAGTGACGAATTTTTCAAAGAGAGTGCCTTGTATATAAGGCAGCTATAGAATCATGTGAATAATTACCGTTACTTTCAAATATACTGAAAAAACTAAAAACACAATTTTACCGTATAGTAGGTATTTTATATTTAAAACTTAATATTTATTACAAAAAGCTATAGTAAAAATGCATGGCATTTGATTATCCACCAAAGGGGTAAAATCTTTGCGGACAGAATAACAAACGCTTAGAAGTTAACATCGATGTGGGCAGGATCGTAGATCACGTGAGCCTGCTCCTCGGGATAATGGATGGACTCACCGGGCAAGCGTTCGTATTGAGCTGTGGAATAAGAAAAATAACAATGTTGAAATAAATAACGTTAAAAATACTTACCAATAATCTGTTCTTTGATAGCATTGAGGTTTTGAGCATAAGCTAAGCACAGGAAGCAGGCGGCAAGAACGAATACAATCTAAGTGAGAATTTATGAACGAATCACATAAATATATTGTACTATATATTTTCATCATTAGTAATTATAATTTTTATTTTACATTTTAAAATATATTTAAAAATTTCAATTTTTTAATTATCGAATACATTTTTTACAATGTGATATTAATTAATTTTTTTTACTTAAGTTTAGTTTATACATTTAAACTTTTTTTTAAATTTTTGTACAACCAAACCTATTTCAAGTTTCCATATTTTTTTCCATAATTATAAATTAAATTTGAATGCTTGAATATATAAATTTTGTGTTAAAAATAATCAGAAGTAAAAAAATGTTTCGAATTGAATTTCTGCTTAATAATTTTTTTCCCTTTTATAAGTCGTTAAAAGTAATAATTTTTGATTTAAGCAAAAAACTGATTTGAAATTTCAAAACATTTTTTTTTTTAATATTATGTTAACATTGTTAATGTATTTTATTTTAATATTTTTCAAGATTTTATGTATTACAATTTGATTTTTATTGAGATTAATAGATTTAATAAAATATTGTGTTAATAAATATTTTTTATGAAATTTTGAATTCAATTACTAGTTGATTATTTTTTTACTTCTATAAGTTTTTCTTTAAACTTACCAAGAATTTCTGCATTTTCGCTGTTTGATATTTTGTACTTTCGCTTTGAGCTTAAAATGTTTACTTAAAAATTCTCCTTGACTGAGCTGGACTTTTATACTCTCACTGGAACACCGAAAGAAGAACATAAAAAAAACTCGTTTCTTTCGGATTTTAGAAGAGTTCTTTAACTGCTGTATTATTGTTATTAAATTTTTTTGTTGTTCACAAGTGTCAGCATTAATCAATGGAATGCGTTAGCGTTTTCAGTGTTGATTTGAAATTTTTTGATTGAAAATTTAGGTGTTTAGTTCGTTATTACGTCAATACAAGGAGAAGAAATAAATATTTTAAATTTTAAAAAATTCAGTGGGTTTGGAACATAAGTAGGTAAATTTACACCAAATTTCGTGAAAGAAAAAAATTATTTGTACAAAAAAAAAAATAAAAGCCACAAACATTTGAATTTTTCACATAAGTTTTTAGGTTATGTAAAAAAAGTCTATATGCAAAGGTTATATCTTTTTTCATTATCTACAACATTCCCCTATACCTTTTTTATAAGACCCGTATTTTCGCTGGAAATCGAGAAAAAATGTTTTTAATGTTAATGTTTGTCATTTTATCTTTCGTTTCCGATTGGTTTCAACCGACTATGAATTTTTCTATTTTTTTTTTATTATTTTCAAAGGCTTCTGAGATAGTTCATAAAAAACTATTTTATTATACATATTGAGTTCAACAAGCTAGATGTAAAATATTTTTCACAGTGTATTTAATAGATTCACTTAGCATCGAAACAGAACTCGCTAGCTCACTTTCGTTTGCCAGACAGAAACCTAAAAAATTGCCGACAAATAAACGCTATGATGCGCGACTTAATTAACATAAATATGTATTTAAGCATATATTTTAGGCGGCTTATACTTTTAACACTACAATTTATTTATTTTCAACAAAAGCAATTATTATTATTCTTTTTTGTTTCGATTTTAAATTACTCAGTTTAAGAAATGTTAATTTGTGAGCAAAAAAAATTGTTATGACGCTGAATTGTTGAAAGAAATAGTGGAGCATGGCAATACATACCTGCCTCTTACATATACTTGTAAGTGTAAGTGTAGAAATGTGTGCGTCTGTGACGCGCATATTTAAAAATTTCGAAAAAGTAATCGAACTACTTTGACGAAGTGTAAAACCCTATTTTACTATCACACTTTGCGTTGGGTTAGTGGTTGGTTGCTTAAGCGTAAATGTGGCTTAAGGCAGGGTTGGGCGATACTACTATGCGCCCAACCACTCTATGAGTTGCCACAACAGACTTACCGCCCCGAAAATTTCCCACTATTTTTCACAACACCTTCAGCGGGAGCGCAGCATCCAATTTATGCGCTCTCTCTCTCGCGCGCGCTCTCGCACATTGTCGCTCGCTTATCATGCCTGTGCTTTGGCATACGATCCGCTCCGGTACATGGAGGCTGGATAGCTGGCTTAACGGCCTAACTAACAACTAACGGCCTGCCTTGCATGCCTGTTTGCCTGCTGCCAGTTTTGCGGCTGTCTGTGTTGGTCCATACGCAGATAGAAAAGTCAATTTTTCATCTCGGCGCAGCGCGAAGGGTGTTTTTACTTGAAAATCGAAAATCTTTTCACACTAAAATTTATTGAATCACGATGCACATACTCAAAGCTTGCGTAATTTAAAGATTGTGGAGAAAAGCGATAAGCGCAGCGCATAAAAATCAATAAGAAAATTCAGTAAAATCTATACGAAAGAAAAAAAATTCTGCGATTACTATGTGTGCGTGCGTGCGTGTGTGATTTTTTTTCTGGTGTGTGTCGATTTTGTATTTCGGAAACGCGATGCGAACGCGAGCATGAATTTCGTTTTACGCCTTTGGCTGCAGTCGAAATCGACAATTGGCAGTAACGACGCGCGCGCTGACGCCAACGGCAACGTCAACGCAAGTATCAACGCCGACAACGACATCCACACAGCAATCGTATACATGTCAGCACGCAGAGACGTCGGCAGTGAAAGCGACAGCGGCCGAGGCCGAGGCAGCCAACTAAACGGTGTGTAAAAAGTGCCAAAGTGGAGTTGGCTGTGCGCGCGTGTTTGTGTGTGTGTCTATGTGCACGCAAATCTGTGTGTGAGAAAATTTTATCGGAATTCGGAGCGCAGAAAAATCTATTGACGGAGCGCGTGGTGTGTGTTCCCCAGTCAAGCGAGTACCAGCAGATTTTCGAAAAAAATTCAATTGGTAATTTACAAGTGATTAAAAATTTTTAATTTTTAAATAAAAAAAAATAAATGTTAATACGAAACGACGTGTTTGTGTGCGTGTATATAGAAACAACAACAACAACAACAACAAAGGACTAACTTTAACGTGTACAAGACATATATGAAAAATCTTAGCAGCAAGCAGCGCCGTGTCAGCTGCCGCGTACGCGCACCTAGCTACACGGAGGCGCTCTAGCGCCAGCGCCGCATATGTGCGCTTACAATTTGTGGCTACTAACGGAGGCTATAGAAAGAAAAAAGTTTATTTTTTATTTGAAAACTCCCCAACTGCAGCGCATTCCTCGACGCGTCTTCTTTATTGCCGCAACGCTAGTTAACTATTTCAATAGCCGCCTCCTCAATCTTAATCAATTTATCTACAGAAACCCTTCGACTACTCATTATTGGTTATTAGTAAAAAAAAAAAAAGACAAAGCTTAACCTTCGCTCATAAGTAGCGATTGTTGTGTTATATATTTATTCTCGTTGCGGTCCATTGAGTGGCTAAAGTGTTTATTGACCCATTGTTTCACATATTGCTAAACGAGTGCTTACAACGCATCACACACTCTCCTTCCTCCACAACAAACACACATTCACCTCCACCACTCACACGCGCCACCACACTGTCGCTCACTTGTACACATATCGCAGGCCATCAGAACGTGATTAGTTGCCCTACCCCTTTTTTTGCACAGAAACAGGGTGTATTGCACTCGAACGTGTCGGCTGTAATTATCGAGATGCATTGTTTGGGTCAGTTACTGTTTTAATCAGTTAACGGTCTTATTAAATTGTAGATTCATATAATCATAAATGTGTACATGCAACCATATATAGCTGATTTCGATAAAGCACTTGCTGTGGATCGAGTTTTTTTATCTAAAGTTGACCTGTTACGTTTTCTTTCTCTGACAAGTTTCTTTAAAGTTTAGTTAGCCCCACAGTTAACTCCAAACCCAAACAAGATCATTTTAAAATTTATGGAGCATTGTTTTTAATATCGGACGCTCTTAAGTGGACTATGGTGAAACTTCGAGTGCTTGAGATGTCTAATTTTCATAATGAAAATACTGAGATTTATGCGGTCGCAATACCAACAAATAATTCATGATAACATCTTTAGCTGCCTCTTTCAAGTGACGCAAAATATTAAAAGAGCATACTCAGACTAAGAAAGTAGTCTTGGTTTTTGGGTGCTGATGGACAAAATTTAGTCGACAATAGAAAATATATATTATAAGAAGTAATTGCGATAGGCCACACCGCTCTTGTAAAAAATTACTATTTAGTAAAAATAGGTTTCACTCAGACTCAGACTCAGTACAACGTTTGGAACGACGTTTTGAAACATGTATATATTTTTTATGTCATTTATAGAAATTTTCTACAGTACCTAGATTACGGCTGCTTAATAGTTGGGTTATTATCATAAAATGCGCCTTTAAAATTAGATTTCAGTTTTGAAAATAGAAAATAGTCACATGTTAGTAGATCATGCGAAAACGGAGGTTGGTTGATGAGAGGAATTGGTTTTTTCATTAAAAACCCGTTCACTTGTTGGGCTTCATTTAATTCATATGAAACAAAACGCGCACCGACCTTGCTTTTACTATCTTCAGTTAAAATTCTCCAAATAGTGTTTTTACTCGTATTTAATCCCTTAGCCAATATTCTCGTAGTAACTTTTGGCATCGATACCAATAACTTCATGGACTTTTTTTACCAGTTCCACACCTAGCCTACTAGCTTTTGGGCCACCTGGACATTGATCTTCATTTAAATCCTCAAAACTTAAAACTTTTTTTTAAATCGTACGGCGCATACAACCATCACCAACAAGCTTTTTCAACAATTCGTATGTTTCAGCTTAGTTAAACACAAAATTTTATATAGGTATGCTCTATTTTATATATGGAGCAATTGCCCACTTTTTCCTCTATTGGACCGGCTGTAACTTTAACATCAGTCATGCGATTTACATGAAGTTAGGTGCGTTTGAAAGAGTAAAGTATAAATTAACAGTCTGCATTAAATTTCTATGCCTAAACCGCATTTGGAATAAGATAAGAAGTCGTTTCTAGTCTTTAACTTGCTTGATTGCGCCTAATAAGGTGTACACCATGGCGAATGAGCGACCTTTAGTAGTCGATCGCAGTTCAGTTCAGTCCAGCGTATAAGAAAAATCACTTCACAAATCTTCAAACCTTACATATGCCGTTGTTTGTATACAAAATGTAAAAAAAAATATAGAAGGTCCACCTTCAACGCAAAGTGCTATAGTTTTATATGCATTGTTCCATGCCGTGCTAAGTATTCTCGTTAAATTTAAAGTACTATATCAATAACAATGAGTACGGAGATGTTGCGAGCACTACTACTACACGGTGCTAAGCTAATGAGCGCTGCGCTTTGACCAGCATGTATGTATTGACATATGTCTGCATGTGTGTGTGTGTGTGAGTACGCGTATTCCTACTTTACGTTGGTGGCCTTCAGTTTAACTAAGATAAATATTTTCCTTCAATTAGTAACTGTTAAAAGAGAAAAAGGTCAAATATGAATAAATAAAATGTGCCGTGATGTGAAATCCGTTCATTGCTGCTGCTGCCGACGTTGCGGCCGCTAGGAGCTGAGCTGATTTTTTCCAGGAAAACAGATGTAAATATGCCTACAAAACACATGCATACACACACATACATGCGAGTGTGTATACAAAACGACATGTGGACACAGGCAAACATGCAGACAAATACAAACATAAGTAGAGGCAAATGTTTAGCTGGACTTCCATAAGCTCAATAAAACGGCGAAGAAAACAAGTAACGGATGTCAGTGTTGTAGAGAAATTTTTCGTAGATTTTGCGAAATTCAAGCACAAAAGGTATGAAATAACAGACAAACAGTGCGTGCAATTGAAAGTGAGTGCATAGTGGAATAGCTGAAAATACGTGTAATATAGGAAGAGCAGCCAACTTCAAGATGGATTACACAGAGAATCACACACACATTAAAATTACAAAGCTAACGTATGAGATGCAAATGTCAAATCAACAATGTAACAGTGATAGTGAGGGAGAGTAAAGGAATGTGAGATTGTGCTTAAAATAATTGAGAGATAGATGAGTGCCAGAGAGCGTAGGTATAGTCGGGGGATGATTAATACTGTGTAGGTGTGTAGCATTACGTCGAAAATTGGGCGTTAATAATTGAAAACATTGAGCGAAAAAGGACATAAAGACTCGGTGGATGGGTAAAGAGTACGCGAAACGTTTGTGTAATGAAAGACTAACACAAACATAGGTGCCGAGCAAATGGAAACAACATCAAGCAAAGAAATGCCAATAGAAAGTGTAGAGTGGGAAAAGGTATTCGAATAACAGTATGAATGAAATTACTTTTAGCTGATTCGAAGGCACTGGTGGTAGTGGAACTTATGTGGACGAATTTCAGTGCTTGTAGAAATGTAGAGTAAATGTCTAGTTAAGAGGGCGAGAGATAGGGCAATAAGTGATGTTTGAAGGAAAATAACATAATAAAATAACTGGTTGTTATTTAAAGATATGAAATGTAACTGGTAACTATTTTTCCTCGCTATTTAAACTTTCTAACCACTTCAACTGAAGCTTTTTAATTTTTTAAAAATACTCGAAAGAAACATTATCCTCACAGAAAGAAAAATTCAAATAACCACACAGTGTTTGTAAAATATGTCTGAAACAATTTTGTTTTTATTAAATCTTTTTCCAATAAAACTTTAAGATTAAGTCAAATCCATCTATCTGTCTGCATATGCGCGAACTAGTCAACCAGTTTTTGATATCGATTTAAAATTTTGCACGCTTCCATTCCTACACAAGAAGTTAGTCATTTATCGGAATTGTCAATACCAGGCCACTATAGCATATAGCTGTCACACAGACAGAACGATCAAAACCAAATTCGTGTACGAAAAGTTGTTTTTATTTGACAAGCCATCTTCACGAAATCGGGCATGGATTGTTGTCCAAGGTAACGCTATAATCTCTGAACAAATTCTTCAGATCGAACCACTATAGCACTAACAAGTCTTGTATGGAAACTTTTTTTTTTATTTGTGAAGGACATTAATGCTTCGGTGCATTTAAAATATAAGTGCAAAAACATTAACTACTTAGAAAACCTTAACTTTGTATGGAATTGAACTGATCATGAGTACCATTTCGTCAAAGAGCTGATGAGTTTGAGGGTTCTATGAAACGAATCGTTTATCCCGTTTATCATTTGAAAAAAAAAATAAAGCGAAAAACACTTCTAAATTTTTAGGAATGACATTCAGGGAGATTTTAACCTAGAACGGCGAAAATAATAGTTATGTCGAAGTTTTAAACCTTGGAACTAATGAAAGAGCTACTTTCGTCACTTATATGGAAGGTCTGTCATATTTTAAATAAAGTCTCATCCACCTTCTTATACTTATGACTTCTTTATATTCTTAATATGGAAATTTCTAAATATATTCGAAATGTATTAAAAAATACACATGTTTTAATGTAAAACTAGTTTTTTAAAAACTCTTTTGCAGAACATTTGCTAGTAAACAAGATAATAATGTAAAATTCCAAAAACACTTTCAAGTCAGCAACAAAAACAACACTACAAAACAATGACATTAAACGAACAGTGTGCAGCAGAGAACAAAAATAAAAATATATTAGCCATATGCCCTAAAATATCTTCGACAAAACTTATAATCATAATAACAAAAACAAACATCGTCTTCCCAATGAATTAAATGCACAAATAAGTAATAGAAAATACATAATAAATTTAAATTTAAAAAAAATCAACAAATTTTGAAGCAATAAAAGAATTATCAACAAATGAAAACTGAGTGTTGAGAAGTTAAGCTTTTGGAACACCCTGCAGCTGCCAACAATCAACGCACACAAATTGAGAAGCAATAATCGACGGAAGAGTAGGTTTCCGAAAATATATTATTAATGCAACAAATTTTTGAGAACCCAACGCGAAACTTACACTGCATTGCGTTTGAGTGAAGCTCGTGTTTTAATGCGGACAGTGGTGGCGGTGGCAGTGTGGCAGCGCGGCGATACCGGATGGCAGATACCACAGACCCTCGATATCGTGGGCGGCTCTGTTGAGGCATGTCGTAATGGCCAGAGAGGTAAGTGCGCGGTTCTTTCACTTCACATTTTATACGTATATCCTAATCAAATATGCAACTATGTTTTATATAGATGAATAGATGAAACTATGCATCTTAATATCGGGGTCCTATCTTCCAAATCATAATTTATTATTGTTTTTTAGTATTATTCCAAACTATTTGGACCTTTACTTCTTTAGCTCAATATTAGTAGCTCAATCTAGAGGAATATTTATGTTATTGGAGTCTACAAAGACGGTTTAGTCTTTTCTTTGGTCCAAAGGCTCGTGTCGATTAAAAACAAGTTTGAAATCAAATCATTTTCGAAGCTGTGAAGGTGTATTTCTTACTCCTCTACTACTAATTAGTACCGTTTTACATATGCTCAGCACTGGAGAGTCTATGTTTACTCAGAAAATACATAGCCCCTGTATTTTAATCTAGATTTATCACTTTCACTAATTCCCCCTTAAGTGGATACCAGGCTTGATAATTTATCGATATACCTATGTATGCATGTAATATGAGCAAAAGAAAAAAATTCCATAATATTTTACGCTAAAATTTTTTGTGACTCTATTTCAATTTATCGCTGGTATGGTAGTTCAATGAATTGGTTTGGGAAAAAAAGAAATGTTCATCACTTTTATTAAACTGGATTATCACATTGTACAACAAAAAATAAAAATAACTTGAGTCCAACATTTATCTGTTAGAATCGATAAATAGATTTTACGATTTTATTATTTGCTCTTCAATCGCATCATATTTATAGTATTTATTATCTTAAAATATTTGTACAACAAATATAAACTTGTTTTGAACTCATTTCGGAAAAGTTTTTTTTCGCGAAACTCGTTTTAGACGGCAAATTGGTTTGAAAGCCGGCAAGCGGATAAGATGTTTTGTTATAAAATACTAATTGATCGGCGCCACTTGGCTAACAAGTTTAAGAAATGTGTTGACAAAAAGAATGTAACAATTTAAATACGAAAATATTTTAGGATGTGATAGTTCGCGTATCAAAAAACAAGTTCGCAGGCTTTACGATCTCTTACGTACTTAGTTGTTTTCAGAATTTCAAATTAAATTCAAACAGGATTGACCGCAGTTATTTTTAGCTTTTAAGAAAAAATATTTTTTTTGAACATAAGATGGGAACTTCTGAATGAAAAATATTTGCAAATATTTTTGGTTTTTTTCCGACTAAGAATATGCGGCGGAACATTGCAATTTCAAACAATAACGTAAACATAACTAGCTAAAATGTGTGGTTTCGATTAACCGTACTCTAATATATAGAGTGACTCTTTTAGAGGAATAGATTCGAATACTTAACATGTGTCTATTTGAGAATATTTTAAGAAAATTTTAAGCGACTTTTTTAGAGGAATAGATTCGAATGCTTATATATCTATTTGAAAATATTTTTCGAAAATTTAAAGTTGATCTGGCAAATAGTTTCGAAGATATGAGTATATAGGTGAAAATTTTTTAACATAGTGCAATCAGCTCCAAAAACTTTAAATGAGTTTTTTTTCAAAACGCTGTTTTCAGGGTACGTGAGGAAAATTTTTCAAAAAAGACTGGACTGATCGCCTGGTAATTTTCGCACGACCTTCATAGATATATTGTATAGGTAATGATCGAAAGAAAATATTTTTTTTTTTGGAAAGAGACCTAAAGTGTTTATAATTTTCTTGAGTTTTGAATTCGAGATAATTTTAAGAAGAAAAATCTTCCTCACCGCCAAACATTTTTATTCAGAGGTCATCCTGAAGATCGGCTACGGGAATTTTTTGGTAATAATTCCAATTTTTTAAATTACTGTGAAGTGCAAATTTTTTCACAAAAAAACGACTTTTTTCGGGAAGTCGTCTTTTGTCAAAAAATCAACATTTTCTTCATTCCTTCGATCATTACCTGTATTTATCTATTAGCATATACATTTTTTTTGTTGGATTGGAGACATTTTTAAGTTGAAAAATAGTCTTAACCTCAAGACACCTTTTCGCAGAGGTCTTCCGTAACCGATACGGGATTAAGGGAATCCAAAATTTTTCAAATTTAATTGGCGATTATTAAAGTACGTAAAATTGTGTAAATGTGAGTTATTTTTATTTATTTACTAAATAAAATGCCTCTTAAAAAAATTCACTTAAACTTTATACATATAGTAGGTAGGGTTAAATTGAACTCTAAACTCCCTAGCCAGCCACGGTTATGTTACGTTAACTGTTATTACATTACGCTAAGTTAGGTAAAGTTCTGCCAAATAACGTTGTGTTTTACTACGTTAAGTGAGACTTTGTTACGTTACGTTAAGTAAATTATTTGACTTTAAGTAAGATTGTGTTATTTTACGTCAAGTAAAATTATTTTAAGTTAAGTGGCGTTAAATAAAGTTGAATAGCAAAACTATATTATCAATTAATCGTATCAAGGCGTTACGTTAAGTTCACCTTTACGAAAACCCTCTGTGACTCTCTCTCTCTCTCTTATTCAGTTGATAAATTGCTTGATATATCTGATCCAGACTTGATATAGAATCCTCCTACCTCTACAGTGCATAACAATAGCAGCAAATGCATCGAAGTACTGTTAAACCCTAAGCCGACTAACAGCAATGCTAACTAAACAGCATCTACTGTTAACTTTGCCTAAATAGTATTTGTGCCTTTATTTATGACTTTTAAGCGCTAAATAACGGCGCGCAGTTGCACAATAACTGACAATTGAGCAATCGCACGCTGCTAATGCCGGAGTATGGAGATTTGTGCGCAGCTAATGTGCAACGGTTTAGTTGGCAGCATAAAGCTTACTTGCACTGTTTGCAATACCAGGTCTTGTGATTAACTTATCTACGTTAGCCTTCAGCTGCTGCAGCGGTAAGGCAAAATGTTGCGATAATTTACAGTTACACTGCTGCTCTGCGCATTAAAGTCCTGACAGTGACTCGGCCAGCCGTTAATGATAGGCATAATGCACATACGATTATATGTATGGATGTATGTGTGTACGCATATTTGTATGCAGGTGACAGCCAAGCGTCGCTGCATTTTGCATGTTGCGAGCGTGAGTAGATTTGAAGAAATAACACTCAGCGCCTCCATTCTGCTGGTCGTCTTTCATACTCACGGTGTCTTTTGCCAATGAAATCTTCGCAACACCACTCTCATTATGCACCGTTGCATTGTCTGTGCAGTTGCTGCAAGTTCGCTTAATGAATGCATGGTGCAGGGTGCGGGGTACGGTGTGGTTTGCGAGTGTGCTGGCTGCTTGGCGTTGATGCAGTCGAGCATTTGTGGGACACTGGCAGCGTTCGAGTGACTGACTAGCTTTGACCTAAATATCTGCAGGGGGAAGTGGTGCGTTGCATGTGGCAAGTATCATATGGCATGTGGTGTGTATATGCACCACACATTACCTTTGTACTTAACGGGGGGCCACACTGTATGCATGTATGTATGACATAGTGGTAAAGATGTGTGCACATATGTATGTATGTATGTGTGTGCGTTTGCGGAGCGCTTGGTGTCTTACAAGTTCGCCGTTTACTACAGCTGTTTCTGCTGTTGATATACAACTGTATGTAATTGTTGTTGTTGTTGTTGCTGCTGATTGCGCTTTTGTTGTTGCGACAACGCCAGCAACGATTTGAATTCCTTTCACTTTGACTAAAGTTTTTCTTTGTTTGTGTTGTCGTTGCCATACATTTTGGATTGTTTGTCATTTTATATATATATATATATATTTTTTTTTTTAATTTTGTCAACGTTGCTCTTGTTGTTATTACTCTTAACGGCAGTGTTGTTATTGTCCTTGCTGCTGTGGTTTTATCTATATATATTATATAGCTCTTGTTGCTGTTGTTGTTGTAGTCAGCTGTTAGTTGTCATATGCTCATAAATGCAATCTCAGTAGATAATTTCATAGTTGGGAATTTCGCAAAAACAACAACTTACAGTAACACAACCTACAACTGTGTGTGTACGAATAAAATGTGCGTCCGTCAGTGTGCTTTGATGCCGCAGCAATTCAGATGAAACTAAATTCTTTAATATTACATTTCCTAAGTTGTTGTTTTTGTGTTTTTTTCTTAATATAAATTTTTGCGCCGTTATTTGTAAATGTGTATAAAGGTATGTGGGCTCATATAGCTGTAGTTTGTCTTGTGGGCTAATTTGGTGTCCATGTCGTGAAATAATTTCGTGAGTTTATTATTTTCATATGGCGAAAATATCTTTTTCTCTCACATTTGCGTTGGAATTTTTTCAGATATGATATGATGTCATAGTATTTACTATTGTTCTTAGTATAATTCCGGAAGTATTAGCTCCAGTATTTATGATTTTTTAACAATAACTTTGAATTACATTTGTACACTTTAGTCTGCAGACATTTCAGAGGTTTCAGACAACACATTTTAGACAAGAATTTTTTCTCCATTGAACGTACAACCCATGTAAAACTCTGGTCGTTTTGCACACATCGATAGGAGACAACTCTATTCCTAAAACCTCTGCGAATCATGTAAAAGTTTTATTGTACGTTTGACACACATTACGCAAATTTTTGCAAAGTTTAATAATTTCCGATAATTATGAACTTTATTACAAAATATAATAATATTTTGCGTATTTTAACTGTTTGTTTATGGTTGGCATCTCTATTACAAAATATAGAGAAATTTAGATTTTCTTTAACTTTTTTCGATGGCTGACTAAATTACAACAAAATTCGTTGAAATTTTGCTTGGCTTAACATTTTGTAATATTTGGCAACTCTAGTATAGAGCCACACCTTGGACTAAAGAGTTTTAAAATTATAAGGGTTTACTATTTATGCATATCTTAAACAGTAAAATTTTTGAAGAAAAAAATTGAATTCAGTGCTGCAGTAATTTCGGCCTTCTTCGTCGATGAAACCTAAAAAAAAAAATTTCAACTAGAAGATATTGTGCGTTTAAAGACCTGTGCTCGAAACAAAACACCAAAAATTACCAAATTGCCGGCGTT